ATTTTTATTGTTTGCCGGCATCGTCCTCCTCGCGAGTCGCTCCTGACATTGTGTTTCTCCCAGCTGGCATGCTTCTCCCTCCTACGACAAGGGTGCTTTCTCCCTTCACCACCCGCGGGCGTGCTCCACCTGCACCAGCGCCGTTCTTCCCTTCAGCGGCAGTGACGCCCCTGTCCCCCACACCCGCCCGACTCTTTCTCCCTACCCTACCCTCCCTCCCCTTGCAACAATTGAGAGCGGCAACTACTCCGAATCGCCATCCTCCATATCACGCTCCTGTTTACGCTCATGTTCAGCATCCTCGCCCTCCCCTTCGTCTGAAGGCGGAGGGTGTGACCTTGGAGGTTTGCAACTACGACGTGTGGGATGTATGCGTGTGTGAGTGCGGCGGATGAGATGGGCCTGGGATTGGGATTGCGACTGCTCCCTCCCCAAATTCTGCGATTGCGGGGGATGCGAAAACCTTCCCCTTCCGCCATAATGTGTAAGAGCTGTATCCGTCCTATGTATCGATCGATCCGACACTTGGGAAAGCGGGAGCTGCGACATCTACCCCCCTCGTGAAGGCTGTTGTTGCTGACGCTGGTGCATGACCACCATTCGCTGTTGCGTCTCAAAGATTCCACGTGTTTCATTCATTTCCTGATGGGGAGGGGTTTCGTCAGCCCGAGCCGGGTTTTGGAGGAGAATGAGATGTAACACAGAAAGAAAGAAAAGGGGAGACCCCTCGACAAGAATATTACCCCTTAGAAGAGATGGGATTGGAAAAGAGAGAAGAGTGAAGGACCGAGGGAAATAAGAGGAATCAAAGGAAGAGATTACAAAGACCAGAAAAAACACGCGAAAAGAGACCCAGCGATGTCTGAGGATCGAGCAGCAAGAAAATGGACTCACCTCCTGCTCCTGCGACCCCTCCGGCATCCCCAGGCAAAGCATGCACACCCCCACTAACCGCATATTTTGGCTTCTTCAATACGCCCGTAACGTGGCGCGAACATATGCGTCTGATACTGCTGAACCTGGCCCTGCTGAACCAGGGGACTCGGTTATTATCTTCCTCCCGGCTGATACGCATACTCCTTGTGCTTGTTGACCCCGATAAACGTACACGCGCCTACAACCACTCGTACCATCCTCGCCGTGCGTTCGTGAGTGGTGTCGTAGATGCGGGGAACCATCATGACTTTTCTCGTTGTTGGTGAAGGAAGACTGGACATAGGTGTGGTTGATTCATATCGATGCCCTTGATTTCATTGGCGGTAGTAGCGCGGAGGGGCATCTCATGCAACATCCGCTAGAGAGGCTTGAAGACGTCGAATACGGTCTACGCGAATGTACATGGTGCGGATGATGCTGATGGGAATGTGAATGTGGAGAGTGCCGGTGATGATGATTTTAGGAGCAGAAGCCGGTGGTATTGTTGGGCGCGGGGATCCATGGTGCGAGTGCCTACATGAGTGTCCGGTGGAAGTGTGGTAGGCGCCAAACGCGATCGATCCAAAGGTGGGTTAGGGTTACATCACTTCTCATTTTCTATCTCATGAACGCTAACCTGTGAGTAGAATTTGCTCGAACTTTCTCTCCTCACCCTCTTTACTTGCTGTCCTCAGTACCGATTTATCGCCCGAGCACCAACCTTCAACAGACTGTCCAGGAACGAATGTCGTATTCAGGAAGCGGAAGCGCACTGACAGCGGAGATACTCCTGGCCATCCTCAAACCGCTCATTACAATCCGAGAAAGACCATGATAACGTTCAACGCACACAACTTGTGCAAGGTCTTTTAGACTGTGCACCCCCGGATCTAACAATATCCATGATTCAACTTCGGTCCTCCCCTACGCACTCGCATCCGTTTGTAAATATTTACGGTCCGCTTCACGCTCGTCCAGTTCTGCTATATTCGTAGACACCATCAACCACCATCGCAGATTGACGCGCCCAGCTCTCCCCACTTCGCGACTTTCGGCACCCGCATCACCAACCGACAAGATATCAACGATTTGTCAAGATGTTACGGAGGGACCTTGGGAGGGACCGCGCGTAGGCGAGTTATGAGGCCTTTTTTACCAGCGCTGTGAGGGGTTGACGTTCTACGCTATGCACAACCTATCCATGCATCAATTTCACATGCTCTTGTCCGCTTTTGACTGAGCTATCTCCTCCCTTCCCCATCCTGACTGCCTTACCTTGACGCGCCCCGCTTTCGCTGGAGCACAGAGAAACAAAAACCGGGATCATTTCGCTTTTCCCGACTTCAGCCTTTCGACATTCTCTCCGTTATGAACAAATTTTGACAGCATCCGCATTGAGGGCCACAGGAAAAAATGTTCCAAGAGTTTGGTTTGCTCTAGGCCGCACTTCAAGCTTGGGACGAATTGAAACCGTGCATGCGATCTACCAGCGACACTACTTTCCCGATCTGCAACACGTCCACAGCATTGAGGATTCACTGTCTGTCGTTCCCACATATACTCCAACCACTGCGTCCGGTTCACATCCTCCCGAGGGCTCAGCGACTCTTCGACGGCTGCAGTATGTCCGTCAGGACCTGTTTGTTGGACGGTCGTACTGTTGCAGGTGAAGCGCGCGGATACGGGACGCATGAATATCCTAACTATGCAGCTCTCATGAACGCCTTTCTTGTCGACATCACTCCATCATCACTGAAGATTGATGAAGCTGAGAAATTCCAAGGCTTGTACCGCTACATTGCGATGCGTGAAACGTAGGCGCAGCCACAGGGAAACGTTCTTCGAAAGCCAGAAAACGGAGGGATCACTACCCAGTATTCGTTCTCGTCGCTCTTTATCAACAGCTAGACCCCGCTCAGCTTCAACTTTCTCGTCAATCGCTCCACCGTGTTTTCCGATGGTCCATGACGCTCTGGAGGGGCCGTCAAGTGGGTATTCGCAGACCCCAGAAATGTCTGGACGTGGATCTTGAGTTTGCTCTTCGGAATTCTGCAACCTGTCCACGACATTCAAGTTTTCCCAGTTGCAATCAGCTCAGACGGCCCGCATGGACATTACCAAGCTCGTCATGTCAGCGTCTCGACAATCACGTACCTGCCCTCCTTTTCGACACAAAAGAATGCAACTGCAGAGCGCCTTCGATCGCGTAATTGGAAAGTTCTGGTCGTCGGCCCCTGGTGGGCGTACTCAGCATGAGGCATGATGCATGATGCCTGAAAGGGGGCGGCTTCGGTGCACAGCGATGAAGAGATGGTGAGCATTATGGGCATCGATTACCATCCCTCGTTCATTTACAAGCTCGTGGATTCGGTACATTCGTCCCATTTTTTATGTCCCCTTTTCTATTATAATCTCTACCCCTAGATCTGCCAACACCTTCCACTCAACGCGGTCCAACCCCTGCTTCTCCCGAACGTGCTCCCAGTCCCATCCAAATTTTACGTGTGTACGTCTCTTCAATTTATGGACAACCCCTTTTCCGAGCTCTCACGGAAATGTACCACGCGCCCGCATAATTTCCTGTTCTACTTCTCCCGTGTTGAACGAACGTTGACGGTATTGACAGGAATGGAAAGTTCTGGACGGGAGGAGCGTGCGGAATGAGCCATTTATTTGTGTATGGCCTGATCAGATCTGTTGAGTTTCGGAAGTACGAGGTGGATATCCGAACACTCAATTGAAAGACGGGTGGCTTACGCTCATTATACCCAAGATTGTTTTCCTCCGTCATGGAGTCTTCCTCCTTTCTTCCATCAATCGTTGGTCATGCGACTTTTCCCCTGCTTACCCTTAATACACACCTCCTCCGCTCCTTCCCGCCATTCCAGCTCTGTTGTTATTGCCCTTTTCATCTCATCCCCATGCTCCCCCCGCTCACCGTCTGTTCTCACACACCAGTTTGTCCCGGCCCTCCCCTTTCACAATTCATCAGCCAGTACCATGCTTCTTTGATTCTCATGCGCACTGCCTGATGTAGGTCGACGTACGCTAATGACCCGGTGTGCAAACTCCGTGTGGGCCTTAAGACCAAGATGGCTTCTCGAAGCCACTACCATCTTTACACTCCATTTCCCTGTAATTCCATCTTCTCGGCGGCGGCTAATCTTGAGAACGTTTCATGGAGAACGGTTTCACGGCCGTGGAACATTCTGCGTTCTTGCTGAAAATTGTAAAAGTGGGTCTATTTCTTGCAGTATCACGGCGGAGTGAAACCGATTTCAAAGCACAGTATGTGAACGGTGGGTATGGCGCGCTTGTACATTATCTGACGTTATCGTTCATTGCTTCCCTTCTTTGTCTTCCCGGTTCTATCCCCTCTTCCAACGAAGCTTGACCAATTTGAATATCAACAACCCGGTTTTGTAGCGAAGGTCTTTGATTCTGGAGGAGGTGAATCCTTTACTCAGCTTAGCCTGCTTCTCATAGCTCCCCTATTAACCCAGGGTTCCCAGAAGCACTTTTTACTAAAGGCAGACGGAAGATGCGTCTTGAGATTATAGGCGTTCCAGCAAGGAAAAGCTTGATACGCACACCTTTGCAGACGTTCTTCGGCGACTCTTCCATTTCCCTAGTCCTATGACCGCCCCCTCCTTTGGAAAAGAATTCAATCGTGATCCCAAGAATCCTATCCTTGGCGTATAAAATGCGTCGCTACTTTTCCCCACCTCCTTCAGCTTCAAGCTAGTTGAACAACGCTAAATATGCACTCATTCAAGTTTACTACTCGCCCATTCGCTCTCGTCCTCGCAATCGTCTGTCTCGCAATCGCGACACCCACCCCGGACGTTCACGCAGACCCAGGTCACGGTTCTGGCGCTGTCGTTCACGCAGTGGGCAATGCCCCCGATGGTGCTGTTATCAAGTACACAATTACGACCCATTTGCCCGAAGCCACCTCGCCCACCGACAAAACACTGGGTGGTTCGACGCTGGAGCCCGACTCTTCGGAATGTTTTGCTCTAGGCACACTTTGCTCATTCGATAGTAATTGTTGTTCGGGACATTGTAATTCCATTCCCCTTATTTTTGTCCTGGTAAGTGCCCCGCTATTAGTTGCTGAAAACGGTAAATCTTGATGATTGACTGTATCGCTTTCACTTTATCAAGGGTTTTTGCTATCCTTAGTGAACTTTTGGGGACTGAGGCAAGTGATCGTGAATAGGTTGGGATGTGTATCCGGACAATAGTATTCCATTCAAGTTGTAGTTCTTGCACAACTGAAAAAATTTGTTTCTGTCGACTCAAGCAGGTGTCACAGCTGAGGCTCGTTCATGCAGACGGGCATAAATTGTAAATTAGAACGAAGTGTCAACAAGAATTTGACACGCATCTAGTTTCATATTTAACATCTCGAGTCCACCCTCATCCCGGTCACCCGAACCCCCCGCCCTCATCATGCACACTCTCGTTCAATTCGCTCTCGAGATGGAACGAGAGAGCTCACATTCTTCCCATAGTGACGAGACTTAGAGCTGGTTCAAGATATGAGGGTGGAGTTTCCTAACCAGTCAAAGTTACAATCCAAGGACTGGCGAAAATGATTAGCACGGATAAGATTGCAAGGAAGAAAGGGTTAGGAACACACAAAGACCATCGTAACATGACGTATAGAAAGAGGAATGCTTGGTTCAAGTAAAGGGGGATTATAGCTGGGAGCGGTGCCCGTATTGCTTCGATGAAATGTAGGTAAAAGCCGCGGCAGGTGCATGAATGATAGCACGCTTGTGCAGGAGGGTTATCCCGGATAGCAAGGAGCGTGTGATGGTGGCAAATAGTGACGACGACGAGGGAGAGGAAAAAATAGAAAGAAGCAACCAAACTCGATATGAAGCACCATCCTCCCATCCTATGCGTGTTAAAATCGCCGCACCCAGCAGAGATTTTTCTTCTTTGCCGGCATCGTTCTCTTCGCTCCTGACGGTGTGTTTCTCCCAGCTGGCTCCTACGACAAGGGCGCTTCTCCCTCCACCACCCGCAGTCGTGTAACCCCTTCCACCCACAAGCATGCTCCACCTCCACCAGCGTCGCTCTTCCCTCCAGCGGCAGTTAGGCCGCAATTCTTCACGCCCGCCCGGCTCTTACTCCCCACACTTGAAAGCGGGAACTGCTCCGAAATGCTCCTGTCTATGCTCATGTTCAGCGTCCTCGTCCTCCCCTCCGTCCTCCTCCAACGAGCTATAGAAGGCGGAGGGCTACGGTTCGGACTAGGTGTGACCGTGGGGGTTTACAAATGCGACGTGTGGGATGTATGCGTGGGTGAGTGCGGTGAATGAGGTAAAGCCTGCGTTTGCGCGTGCGAATGGGATTAGGATTGCGACTGCGATTGCGGGGGCTAAACTTCCCCCTCCGCCATGATGTGGAAGAACTGTATTCGTCCTATGTATCGATCGATCCGACCCTTCAGAAAGCGGGAGCTGCGACCTTCCCCCTCGTGAAGGCTGCTGTTGCTGACGCTGATGCATGACCGCCAGTTGCTGTTGGGTCTCAAGGGTTCCTTGCTTTTCGACGTGTTTCATTATTGATTTCCTGAATGTGGGATTTCGTTAGCCCGAGCCGGGTTTTGGAGGAGGGAAGAATGTAACACAGAAGGAAAGAAAAAGGGAGACCTACCGATCGCAAACAGTCCCAGAACCCCTCGACAAGAACTTTACCCCTCAAGAGGGATGGGAGCGGAAACGGGACAGAGGAAGAAAGAGGAGTCAAAGGAAGATGTTCTAAAGGCCAGAAAGAACGCCAAACGAGACCCTAGCGAGGATCGTCTGAGGATCGAACACCTTGAAAATGGCAGAAAACGGACACACCTAGCACACCCAGGCAAAGCACGCACAATCCCCTCCTCCAATACTACCCCCACTAAACGGATATGTTGGCTTCTTCACTGGTGCGCCCGTAACGACTGGCGCAAACAACATGCGTCTGATACTGCTGAACCTGGCCATGCTGAGCCAGTGGATTTGGTTGCTGTCCTCTCGCAGGCTGTTGCTGCAATCGACGACATCTCCTTTGGAGACGTATACCCGCTCCTCCTTATGCTTGTTGATCCTGATAGACGTGCACGCGCCTACTACCACTAGTACCGTCCTCGCCGTGTCTTCGTGAGTAATGGCCTAGATCATGCGGGGAAGCATCCTAACCCGCTGTCGTGGTCATAGGTGGTGGCTGATTCATAGCGATCCCGTTGATTTCGTTAGCGCGAGGGAGTATCTCAACGCGCCGCTAGACCCACTTGAGGACCTCAAATACGGTCTCCGCGAATGTACATGATGCGGGTGGTGCTGTGAAGAGGGTGCGGGTGCAGGTGCGGTTTATGGTGATGGTCAGGGGATGTGATAATTCTAGGAGCAGAAGCCAGATGGATATGCCAAGAGTGCGAGTGCCGAATACAATTTCATCGATGCAGAGAATCTGAGAGATGTCAGAGTGGGAAGGCTTGAACAAGACACGTGATCATGACATCAGTTAAATTTGCTCGAACTTTCCTCTTGACTTGCTGTTCCTCCAAAGAATGTCCAAAGTACCAATTTCTCACCCCAGCCCAACCTTCAAAAGACTGTCCAGTAAATTGAATGTCGTATTCAGGAAGCGGAAGCGCGTCACCTTGAATCATCACCAACAGGGGAGATATTCCTGGCCATTCGAGAAAGATCATGATAACGTTCAACGCACTCAACTTCCGCCTCACGCTCGTCGTTCTGCAGCTCTGGAACTGCCACGCTATAATCGTGGACACCACCAACCACCATCGCCGATTGACGCACCCAGCACTCCTCTTCTCTTCTTCGGAGATCGTATCACCAACCGACAAGACATCAACGATGTGCCAGGATGTTACCGACGGCCCGCGTATAAGCGAGTTATTACCCCTTTTCACCTGCGCCGCGAGGGGTTGACGTTCTACCCTATGCACAGTTTATCCCTCCCCAGTACGCATCAGTTTCAGATAGTCTTGTCCACTTTTGACAGAGCTATCTACGTGTACCTCCTTTTCTCACCTTGACTGCCTCACTTTGACGCGCCCCGCGTTCGCCTACGTGTACGAAACCTCAAGCTGGCTGTGGAGCACAGACAAACAAAATTCAGGATCATTTCGCCTTTCCCGACTTCAGCCTTTCGACGTTCTGAACAAATTTCGACAACCCGGTATTGAGGGCTACAGGAAAGGAATACTCTAGGCCGCACTTCGAGCTTCGGACGAATCGAAACCAGGCGATCTACCAAGCTACGACAATACTATCCATACTTTCATAATCCACTGATTTTCTGCCGAGCTAAACAACTCTTCGACGGCCCTAGCATTTCCGTCAGGTACTTACCTGTTGGACGGTCGTACCGTTGCAGGTGAAGCGCACGGATTAGGTACCTATGACAACTCTCATGAAATCACGCCTTTCTTGTGGACGTCCCTCCATCAGGAGATGATGGAGCTCAGGAATTCGTACCAACTATTCGTTCTCGACGATTTATCAACAGCCTGACCCTACTCAACTTCTATTCTCTCGTCGATCATCACAGTGTTTCGATGGTTCATGATGCTCTGGAGAGACTGTCGGGCCGGTAGAACACGTTACGCGATTCGGGCTCAGTAACTGCTTGCGTACTCGCACGTTCCCTCGCCAACATACTCCGGCACCGACTCCCTCTTCTTTTTCTACTACTGTAATTGCCTTCCGGTTCTCTTATCGTCATGTCTCTCCTAGAGCGTGTGCGCGCCATTCGTGACGCCTACTACAACGAATGCAGGGATCGACGTAATCTTTTTGACGAACGTGGCCGACGACTCGACCACCCGTCTGATAAAGGTGCTGGGGCGAGTTACCCGCGGCCGAGGGTAAGACGCGGGGTGTGGCGTCGTGGCGTCGCAGGCATGAGTGGGAACGACGATGAAGACGCAGACGAGAGTGGCGACAGTGAGCAGGAGGATAGTAGTGGAGAGGAATCAGATACTGAGAGCGATGAATCCGGAGACTCAGAAGATGACGAGGATGAAGGTGATGCAGAAGGTGTGTTCTCTTCCACCCCATTTGTGCACAGGGCCAGTAACCGACTCTGAAGGGAGTGCAGAGGGTAATCGCCAAAGAGGGAGTACGATTCCTAATCAACCTGGTAATAAGCTCCCGGCATATCTTCCAAGACTTTCACACTCATTCGGCGTTTGCACCAGGATCCTCCTCCCGCCCTCGTCATTCCCCTCATATTCCCCTCCCACGAAATCCCTCCCCTCATCCGAGAATGGCTGGGCATCAACAGAAGTCTTACGAGCGGTGGATCCCACCGCAAGAAACCATGCGTCAAACAAATAGGGCGCAGGTCAGTGCCAAAACTTCCAAGGCAGTTGACCATCGGTATGATATCTGGCTGCCAGCCAACATGGCATCTCGCCAGCCTGATAAAGGGAAACCACCCACGATTTGATCCAAGGCGCCTTTCCTTTTTTCATGCATTAACCCACCAACTCCCTGTGCTTGACCGCAATCCACCCAAACTAGCGGTGACGCTTAGTCTATGTACTACTACCATGAACCGTCTGCTTTGCAAACCAGGCCGCTGTTTCGAATGTCGACGTCGCCTTTGTGATGGATCTACATCTCGGCAGACGGACGCTTTCCCGAGTCCTCTCTTCTTTTGCAACCCTCCCTTCCACTCTTGTAATATCTACTCGCTGCTGCTTCTCCCCTATCACTTACGTTCTGGAAAAGCTTAAGCTTGTAGCTCAGTCAGCTTGAAACGTCTGAGATGTAGTGAACAACAAGTAGGTATCATTAAGCAATGAAATATACAGTATATAAGCAAGAAACAAATGTCCGTCAGTTAATCAAGGTTCGAGGATCAAATTATCCGATCTGGAGGGAATGTCTCCAGGTAGTTGGAAGTCTAAACACATCTCAAGCTCCACCCGCTCCTTAAAGAACAGCATCAACAGCATCCACCATATCACGCCTTACATCACCGTCCACATCCCACTACCGCGACCACAACACCCATCGCCACCATCCCTACAAATTCACCCCCAACCAACGTGCTCGCACCGTTCTTCTTCGTCCCACCCCCACTCGACGTGGTCCCAATCGAGCTACTTCCAGATGCACTAGCAGGCGCAGTCGGCAAACGTCGCGCAAAGGCTGGCTATACACGAAGACGCGACGCTAGTGGCGGAGACGGAGGTGGACACATGAAAGTTGACGGTTCCGTTGCCTGCGAAACTGCACGCCTGTGCTTTACGATTTTGGGACTGGTAGTACTGAGGCATGACGTAAGAGAAAGACAATGAAATAAGGCGATGAAACTCACTCGGATCACACCCCGAGACAAGACCGTACGTGCCCGCAGCACCATCTGTGGCAAAGTCCGAGCAGCCCACAAGCGGCATTGATCAACTGCCCAGCAACAACCGTATAACCGCTAACGACAGGGGTGAACTGGCAGCTCAAAGCACTCTCCAAACACTGGCAAGCCGCCAAGTTGGGGTTGGCAGGAAAAGTCGTCGATCTCAAGAACGTGCTGTTTTGCGTTGGGCACGCGGGGAAGGCGGCGTCCGCAACCGAAGCTTGAGCAGGAGAGTTATGAGGAGCAGCAACGCCGTATTGAGTAGCGAGGTTGGTAAAGTCCGTGGAGGTCGAAACGGTCTTGTTGTCAGATGACAATGTGATTTTGCCGAATTGACCTGCTGCGCTGGCTGCTGGGAATTAGGAGAAGGCGATGTCCCCATACCAGGCGGGAGATATGTCGGATGACAAGAGGGCGCCTATTTCTGACCAGGGGCGGGGACCGGAGGGAGGGACACAGCCATACTCAGAAAAGTAGGCTGTGACGTTGTACCCAGCGAAGTTGTTTTCAATGTCGGTGTAGGAGTCTGCGAAGGTGGAATTGCCGCACCACTCGCTGTGACGTGTCAATGGAGAGCGGAGGATGGGGAAGAGCAGAAGACTTACTAGTTGTTGAGTCCGAAGAGGTCGATCGCCATTGACCCAAATTTGGTGTTTAAGACCGCAGCTGAAATGGTTGGCCAGTGGGTCTCGGGAAAGAAAGGAATTACAGGTATGCCTTGATGCCTCGAGCAGCTGCTTTTACGAAAGGAGCGACGTTGGTGTTGGATGAGCTGTTGATGACCTCGTTTCCGACGTGGCATGCCAGGATGTTGTCGTACTTGCTGAAGGCGTCGATGGCAGCGAGGTATTGATCCAAAAGATTAGTAGACCACGCAGGCGAACTGCGGTCGATTGAGCCGTTCAAAGAAAGGTGTGAGGCTGATGCTGGCGTGCTTTGTCAGGTTAGGGGAGGGTGTGACGGACGGCACGAACGTACATGGTATAGACGTCTGCACCACTGAAGGCTCTCATGCACAAATCGTAGTTCTTGATCGAATCGACGCTGTACACACGAACGGTGTTCACGCCCAGTTGCTGTAGGTATGGAAGGTCACGAGGGCATCCGTGCATCCGCGAGAGGGTCATTGTAAGTCGAAGGTTCGCGAAACGAGTAATTAGCAGAGGTATCAGTGACAATGCCTACAAGAAGTGAGCACCGAGCGAGAGGGTGATGAGGAGGAAATGACCTTGTTGTTGGTACGCTACACCCTTGAAATAAAACCTCGCTATCGACCTGTGCGAGAGACTTGTGAAATGGTGTGCACGTTGTACACCAAGAGGGCCGTGAGGACGAGGGAAACGGGGGCAGGAACCCCGAACGACTTCATGCTGAGGGAAAGAGTGTGAGTTTGGTGCAAGCTAGCTCTGGAGTGGAAACAAAACGTGTCACCACTACGAGAACCGCACTCACACTTCTTTGTCTTGGATCTTGGACGATTTAACCTCGAAGGTAATCATCTTCGAGGTCGAGTCGGTTGGGGCTCATGAGCGCCCTCGCTCGGAGTTTGACGCCAATCTCATATTTCACTCTGTTGTTAAAGTTAGGATTTCATAAGACAAACGAGGGAGGCGAACATACCATGATTTACCCAGATCGAGAGAATGTCGCAGATTGTCCATCCCGTCCTCGTCATTCACCACCACCAGGTTGTTCCCCTTATCGCCAAACTCGTACTTGTGCGCGTCTCGTCGGGCCATCTGCCACGTAACGCCGGCGCCTGTGCTGATAAATGTGTCGCCTTCCTCGTACGGTAAGAAACGCTCGCGTACCGACCCAACGCCCATGGCAAAACCAGGTGCTGGTGACCAAAAGATGCGGCCATGGTTGTGTGGGGTCGTGACGGAGTGAAGGTGGACTGAGGAAAGATCGGTATCAGCGGGGTTGCATGTGATTGGTTTGCCCTCGTCGTCTTCAGATGGGAGCAAAGCGAGGTCCATTGCTGCCTGTAAATGGTTAGACGAGGAACGGACGACAGAAATAGAGCGATGTACCATCTTCAACAGTGATCATCGCCTCACTCGCCCCATCGACATCTTTCGCCTTTGTAACAACATTGGCAAGGCCCACCCCATCGACTAGGCAATAACGCCCTTTGCGTTCTTCTCAATGTTGAGGTCCTCGACTTGGCTGTCTTGGTTGAGGAAATCGGTGCTGGAGAAGAGGCGGCTGGAGGAGAGGACGTGGGAGCTGTCGACGCTTGTGGTGTCGAACAATAGATGAGGGCTTCATGTTTGCGGGAAGGCGGCAGCTCAACTCGGCCCGAAAGTCGCGTGACTTGCCTTGTTAGGCGATTTTCATACTTATTGGTCTTCAATCTTCTTCTACGAATCAAGGACTTTTATGTTGCCAACCTCAACGCAACGGCGACGGACAATGATGAAAACTTTCAACGTTCAGGGCTCTAGCTTATGGCTCAAGCAATCAAGCCTTCTCCTTGCGCGCCCTCCAATTCATGGCTGCATCGAGAGTGCCCTGCCAGTGGAACTTTCAAGCCGCAGCTCCGGACGAGTTTCTGTTTGGGGTTAGCATCCTGGATGCAAAACGTGCATGTACTTCCCTAGTCGCCCCTCCGCAGTAGCTGATGGCTTCGGATATGCACATTAGAATTATGAAGGGACGCACTCGCATCACTTTTTTTTGGGACGACGAATGGATCAAAATTCGTGAGTGCTTCCCCGTTTTTCACCATGTTGTGTTGTTTCTACTCCCAACCCTTACCGTCGTGTGAAACCTATTGTGTTTCACACTGCCAAGAATTATGACCACTGGTAGCTTTCTTTCTCTGCGCAGTCAAGTTGCGGCTGGAAGTTTTCGCAGTGAGTCGGTATAAAATGGACGTTCAGTTGTTCACTCAGTCCAACCCCCTTCTCTCGTTTAATTTACTTCGCTCTCTTTCAAATCTCGAAAAGGGCTATTGGTCGTTTCCTCACTCTCATTGCTTTCGCAACGGGCGCAGGTGCCAACTACCTCGTTTTGACGGTAACTTCTTCCAGGAGCTCCTGCACCACCCGCAAAAAACGTCACTCCAGATTCGGTACGTAAACTTCGAATTTATTGAAAATTTAATTTCTTACTCCTTCTTTCAGCACCTCCCTTATTCATTTATATCCCTCCCGTCAATGATCCAGCTTCAACCGACCTTCCACAGAAGCTTCCAGCAGAAAATACGCCTCAGAGTACTCCAGCGCCAAAGTACTCGCCAGCGCAGAACACTCCTTCTGTTCCAGTGACTGGTCCTGCACAGGGTGATTCCGTTCCGAAATCTCTCAATGGTTCTTCGCCACCTGCCTATGGCCCATCTTCGATCGCACCTCCCGTTCCTTCGGATGATGCAGCTCCAACTGGTCTTCCACAAGGCGGTTCTGTGCAAAACCCTCCTACAGGTTCACTAGCAGGACCCCCCTCAAGGCGCTCCTGCACCTCAGGATCCCTCACCGTCGGTCTCCCCATCACCCGCGCCAGTCAACGGTCCAACAAAAACCGGCCTGCCAAAAGACGAGCAGGTCCCTAAATTTCCCAATGCCAAACGCGCCACAAAATCCTGCGCACAAGATTTCTGGAACGCCTATCATCCCTTATCCTCCGTCACTCAGCTCAGCACCGACCGACCGACCTGGAACCTCACCGAATGACCTTCCGCAAGCTGTCCCCACACCAAAATACTCCGCAGGATTCAGTCTTCCTTCCACACATCCTTCTGGCCCTACTGCGGCAGTTTCTGGATCCATAGAGCTTCAGACGCCAGATGACGCACCACACAGCAGTGGTCCTGTAACAAAACATCCTGCGGGCCCTCATGCACATCAAGATGTGAGTACAAATATCCGATCTCGCGACGTTGATGTCCTTATTTCTTTTCCAGCGCCCTCCCGCCCCGCCCTTGCAATCTCTACAAGGTGGCTCAGCACCAACGGATCTACTATACGTCGCTCCCCCGCCCAACGCTTCTGCCTCTGCAGTCCCTCCCGCCAATGGTCCACCGCCCACCAACGGCACACAACCTCCTCCTTCTCCCACCTCTACTGCGTCCGCTGATGGCACCCGTTCAACTGGGCTTTTACAAGGGGACCCTACCCCCAACCATGAAGAACCGAGCAGCCCTACGCCGCCCGCGCCACTGGCTCTGGATTAACCCCACCCCAAGGTCCCCCACCTCATGAGCCTCCACAATCTGCGCCCGTCGACGGCACAGTGCCAACAGATCTGTCATACGTTGTTCAACCAGCGTCCGTTACCCCCTCTTCTTCTTCCCTCCCTCCCGTTAACGACCCAGCACCAACTGGACTCTCACAACCCATTCCTGCTCCCAACTCTCTCGCACCAACTAATTCCGCAGTTCTCACAGGCGCCCCCATGCCCAACGTTAGCAGCTATCCCAGTGCACCCGTAAAAGGTCGCGCATCATCTGGTGTCCCACCTGTTCCCGCGCCCGAGTCTCCCGCAGCGTCTGTCCTCCCTTCTGTCACTTCAGGCAGCGACGAATATGAAGGGCCACATATGTGTAAACATAGGCAATAAAAACTGCAGAATAGACCAAAACCAGTGTTCCCCCAACATATTTGCTCTCAATTTCTAAGTTTGGTGATGGAATTGTACATCCATCATATGCATAAAACAAACTCACAATAAAAAAAGGGATCAGATCCAAAAAATGAATGAATAAATATGATCTAAACTCATATTTAGAATATGCTGAACTTCCTGGGCCAAGATTTTAGCGTATTCTGAATATGAATTCAGATCATATTTAATTGTTCATTTTGTGGATCTGATCCTTTTTTTATTGTAAGTTTGTTTTATGCATATGATGGATGTACAATTCCATCACCAAACTTAGAAATTGAGAGCAAATATATCAGAACAAAAGAGATTACAGCATATCCCGCAGTTTTGAGAGCATATGTTTATACATGTGTAGCCCTACATATTCGTCGCTGTCTCGAGTGTGTACCACCTGTCGATGGAACGCCCAAATTTTCTCGCGTTCCAGATGTTGATGTACGTATGGTTTTGATGGCATCTATATCCCTCTGACGCGATTTTTAGTGCTCTTCTAAGTACTGTCCACCCCAATGGCTCAGCGCCCACTGCTGTCACTCCCACGTCTGTCTCCCTCGTTTTTGGCTCATGTTCACTTGCTTAACTGATCTTTTTATAGCCATGGGAATTTTCCAAGTGCCAGTGTTACATGTTGTCCATTCATGTCAACGATGGATTATGGTTGAGAACTTTTGTAATGTATGATCTTGTTATGATCGAGACGTCAGTTTTGCTTCAGTTGGACAATACTTCACTGGGAGATGTCCGATTATTGGATGTGTTTGCATGCATAATTTTTTTGAAAGACGGGTTTCTAAACGCACGTCCCACTTTCTGAGATACTGGAAAGCATTATACCTACTCTCGGAAGTGGTGAGTTGACCAATCGACCATGATGGGAAGATGCCGATAGTTCAAACTCCGACCTTTTGAAGCTTTTCACCAAGTGCGCCTGCCATTTGACGTTACATTGTTATCAGATGGAAGTCTCAATGTATCGCAAGGATCCTGAACTTGAAAGGGACAAAATAAATGCATTTAAATTGAAATAAAAATCGAGAAGCGTGCACGCTCCTGCACCCGTATTGATATCATATTTGGTGCTGAGGATTTCATATCCGTTGACTTTTTTATTTTCGACATTTTCGACGTTCCACTCTCTGAATCGAACTTTTTTGTTCAGCGCTTTAGGATTGAGTTGGTCTAGGACTTTCTATAACGTAAAATATAGTGTTCAATGCGCGATTCCAATACAATTATTGTCGAAATCTTTATCTTGGTACTGATTCCGATGCGGCTCGCTAAAATTAAACGTTAATGTCTAAAAATGCGGCCTCTTTGGTTTATAAGTCAAACTTATGTATGTTCACGTATTTTTTCAGTGATACGTGCCCATCCAACGTAAGGTGCTGAGATTCTTCACATGCGTTTTCATCGATCAGCTTCCCGAAACTTCATCCGCAACATATCGTTCACTAACTACGCCATATTGTCGAGGCGGTCTTCTCATCACAACTGATCTTCAGACAGGGAGGGGAATTCAGCTTCATCAGAATCTTGGCGAACTGTACCGCATTGCGCACGATGACTCTTGATCTACACTCGGACAAATTGAACATCGTAAACAAAGTCGTTCTGGAGAGTTTGCATGGATGCCCCAGCTGGAGCGTCTAACGCTGTACGTTCCTTTCAATAGTTTCCCCACGGATCGCATTGCGGAGACCATCATCTCGAGATGGCAGAGAACAACTTGAAAGAGGGTTGAACTTTTGTTTGTCAATCATTGCGAGGGGGAAGTAAGAAGGCAATTGGGGCATAGTGTATTGGTGCAGGTTTAAAAGTTGTGTTGAGGGCGGCGACCACACCTTCCCCTGCACTCGTGACCTGGGACGCGTAAATTAATTAGGGATGGACATATAGTTCGGAGCCTCTGGTTTAGAAGTGTACGCACACGGGAAGGGTTTTGTCCCTCTTGGCGTTTCATTCACTCAATCCACAGCAAACCTCAACTATTTCTTGAACTGCGTCCACGTTTTATACCTGGACAGCAGCGTCCATGCAGAAGTGAAATGCGCAAAGCCATTTTCCAAATCTCCCATGGGCTACATACGTCCGGTTCAGCCGGCGGCCGCAGGGCGAGGGTCATAGAACACTGGCCGTGTTGTGTATGTCTTGTAATATATCAAGCACGCACCACCGTAAACACTGGGCATGTCGGAAACTCACCGTCCTTCTACAATTCCGACATGCGGGTGATGACTCGACGTCGCCGCAATAATCCGTTTCTATGCAACCCTTAAACAAAAATGAGGAAGGCGTTCTACATGATTTTTGAATCCATAAATTTTCAGTTGATTGATAAAAGTCGATAAAACAACGCAGAATGTTTTACCCCTTCAAAATTGAATAAAAGGCTTGGTCTTTATTTATCATCTTGATAATGGCGAACCCTATTCATGACGGACAACATTCATGATCGATCAGAGCTCAGCGCTCAGCGTCCGCACACATCAAAAAATGGGAACGCACCAAATAAGTGGATAATTCTCGCGGATCGACTTCGCAATTCAGGGAGCGTTCTTTAGATAGTTAATTGAAGAAGGACAATGGGCAGAGGCGGTAGAGTGTGTCGAAGCTTAAGTCAAGCAGAAAGTCGACATCCAGATAATGTCAAGCGGACGGGTTGCGGACGGGTTACAGGAATAGAATAGGCAGAAGAGTGAATACAGCAACTTCTGCATATCGTCGATGACGATCGACCGTCGAAAGATGTCTTCTTCAACTTCTCGATTCTTGAATTCCTTTTGATACCGGAACGAAGCAGGTAGCGTAGCTCCGGTGGTAAAAGTTCGGAGGTTTGAAGAGTTCGATCATACAGATGCAATCATAGGTGGAGGAAAATCCTGGTTCGGGCCTTCGAATTTCAAGAGATGAAATTGAGGTCATCGAGGATCAAAAACGCCGAGAAATGTATCGATGTATGATGCCGAGGATCCTAGGCCATCAATCGTCATACGAGTGCGAGATGCACACTTTTGATTGAGATGGACGCCAAACAGATTTGCGTGTGATAACCGTTGATTCTTGTTTCTGCAAAGCGACAGGTGAGTCGATGGTCATGACGAGTTCAACTCGATCGAGTCTCAAGATCTCAAGCATCAAAAGCATTTACGATACCATGACTGGGCATCGCGATTTCCTGGCCGAGTCGGTCTTCCTTATCGTTGGCTCCGTCTTGACAGCCTATACACTCCTACTATACATAGTCATTCTTTGCCTCCGTCAACCCTGCAGAGATCAATCAGATGAAATTTCAAAAAATCAAAACCCCGATCGAAGCTACGAGCATGGGCCTGGATGGCCAGTGGCAAAAGCTTTATTTTCTATATTTTGGTGCAAGCGCCGTGACAGTAGTATTCTCCGAGCAACGAGGAAACTTCTAAGTAAGAAATTGAATATTGAGGACTGAGTGTTGAACGTTGAACGTTGAACGTTGAACGCTAACGTTGAGCTTACGTGTGTTTGGAAATATTGGAACTTTCTAGCGCGGCTTATGTCATGATATGTATGTCAACGTTTGCGCGATCGACGTTCAGTTTTTCAACATTCAAATTGCGACCACCGACGAGTCACGACGCGACATCTAGGATTTTCACCGCGATATTTCATTCAAAACGACAATGTTTTCGCATTTTCGAGGGTTTGTTTCATCCTCAGTCCCGTAATCGGCACTCGGAACGCGTCGGGGCGATTTTCTCAATGGGCCTTGATAATCTCGGCTGAATGTTCGTTGCCAACAGTTGCCGGGCGACTTTACATTGAGACAGGGTCGCGTCAAAAGCCATGCTAACGTCTTTTTGGTTGTAATGCGCAATTCGCCCACATACATAGGCAGGACCGTGGGGTGAACATTTTTCTCCCTCTCCTGGCTTCCACTAGCACCAACGCCACCCCAGAAAACCACAGGAAGGCCTCAGCGGTGAGTCACCCCATGCACTCTCATGTTGGCGATATCCTTGTGGGGAGGCTGCTTCTTAAACTTCTCCCCTACCTGTTTATAGAGAAACAGTACGCTGACGATTTCTTCTTTGATCTCATCAGCCGCTGTGCTCCGCCGTCGCGACTTCGTCGTGAACCAGGATACCTTCCCCACTTTAACTATACCTTCCGATCGAGTGAACTCTATCACAGGCACCCGTCAACTTTCGCTCTCTTAAATTTTGAACCACTACAATCGCGGTATGAGTTGATTCGACACTTCGTCGCTCGCTGACATCTTATGCGCTGAAGCTCCCACCTGCACCTCAAAATGGGAGCTACCGACCATGATCCGTTGGCCATACTTACGCGGCCACCACCAAACGAAACGCCAATCGAGAGAGCCGCTCGTGAAGAAAGAGAGGCTCGCGCGCGTCAAATAAGCGATCAGATTGACGAACAACTCAAGAAGGATAAAGCAGCTCTAAAACGACAGAATGGGCTCGTCCGAGTGTTGCTTTTGGGTCAGTCGGAGAGCGGTGAGTTAACTTGCCTGAACTTCCATAGATTTTGCTCATGACGCATCGCGTGTTTCGACCCCTGACAGGTAAATCAACGACTCTCAAAAGTGCGTTGTGCCCGCCGTTCTTCTAATATCCCTCATCACCTCCAATCCAGACTTTCGAATGAAATACTCCCGCGCTCAGTGGAAAGCTGAACGTCTCTCCTGGCGCGCAGTCATTCAGCTCAACCTCGTCCGCTCCGTCCTCACCATCCTCGACACAATGCAAACAGAAATGAACGGGACCACCTCCACCCCGACATCCTCCGTTGTTCAAGAATTATCCGGTGACGAAGAGGACGAAGAGGAAGATAACCCGATTCCCTGCGCGACTATAAGTGGCGTCGGCATCATCGTGAACATAAGCCGCCGTTCATCATTATCCAAGGACTCCAACTCGAGTTTACGAACGACTCTATCAAGTCATCACCAAATTCTCAAACTCCGCTTAGGACCTTTGCGAGGCGTTGAAGCAGATCTGAAGAAACGCTTGGGTGCAGCATCGGACGAGGAAGAATTCGACTCCAGCGCATCCCTTGGTATTGGCCCCCTGGAACCCTCATCTTCTAGCTCAGGTGATGGTAACCAAGGCGCCGAAAGACGAAGCGGAAACGCGATGATTGCAGCACGTAAAGTAAAACGACGTGAATTCGGCGTAAAGCGGTTACACGAAGCCCTGGAGAACGGCGTGCATGCACTGTCATCTCGTGGCAGTCATCATGGCCACGGTACGCGCGACTCGGGGTCGTTTACCTCCGATGACGCTACGGATATTATCGCGAGTTGTAGAGATGACATGAAGGCGCTATGGCTGGATGAAGCTGTTCAAAAGGTGTTGGCAAAGAGGAAGGTGAGGATTGAAGATGGGGCCGGATTGTGAGTGCTTTCTTGTTACGTGTCACTTCCCCACCCCTTGCCAGCCATGCCTTCTCACCTCCGTTCAATTTCCCCTCATTTCACCCCTTCCATCCACCTCACCCCCGTTCCTCATGCCTTCTGCTCCTTGCTAACTTACACATACCTCAGCTTCTTGGATGATATCGACCGGATCGCGACACGCACCTACGAGCCTTCAGATGACGACGTCGTTCGTGCCCGCCTCCGAACACTCGGCGTGCAGGAGTACAGCATCCAATTCGAGCAGAGTAAAGGGCCAACGCTGTTTGCCGGTGCGTCCCGTTAATCTTCCTGTTACGTACTACTAACATAACTACGTCATGCAGGCGGTCTGGGTGATTTCGGAAAGGAATGGATCATCTACGACGTAGGCGGAGCACGGACGATGGTACGTCTATTCTATCTGCCCAAAAGTTTCTATGTCTGATGTATGACTAGCGACAAGCGTGGCTTCCCTTTTTTGACAACGTCAACGCCATCATTTTCCTCGCGCGTAAGCTCCAACCCTCATCTCATTCCATACCTATCTCATTCTCTTTGGCTAGCTATATCGTGTTTCGACGAACGCCTCCAAGAAGACTCCAAGATCAACCGTCTCGAAGACTCCTGCCTCCTCTGGCGCTCCGTCTGTTCCTCTAAACTGCTGGCCAAAGCGACCCTTATCCTCTTCCTCAACAAATGCGATATTCTCAAACGTAAATTGAAGTCTGGGGTTATGGTGAAGAACTTCCTCCCGAGCTATGGGGAAAGACCGAATGACGCAGGGAGCGTTATCAAATGTTAGTGGTTCTCGCCCCTCGCCTTCTTTAGGGGACTTAGGCTGATGCGTTGTTTAGACCTCAAAGAAAAGTTCAAGGATATACTGAAGGCGCAGTCCTCGGTCCCCAGGACATGTTACTATTATGCGACATCCGTGACTGTATGTTTCTCCTGTTTTTCATCACCATCAGTCACTCATGTCGTCCTTGTAGGACACCAAAGCTACTGCGAATACACTCAAGACAGGTTGGTTTCCTATTCTCGGTGTGGATGCGTTCCCTGAATCTTGGTTGCGACAGTGAAAGATTCCATCGTACGGGAACACCTTAAGACTGCAGACATGGTGTGACCAGCAGTGCCGCTCGTCATATTGATGGACCCCTCCCAGCCCCATCGTAACCCTGACCACCGTCGCCACCACAGCGCAATAAAACTCTGCTCATCGTCGCTATCTACTATCTATCAACTATCATATCGCCCTGTACACATGTCCTTTTACTCCCCATGTTATCGTCGTCTGTTACGCTGCTGAACATGGATTCGCTCATGCACATAGACTTTACGCGGTGTAACACCGATCGCTATACATACACACCCACTCATTCGTTGTACCTTACCTGGATTTAGACGTATACATTTTGGCTTCATAGCGTCTCAGTTATTCCGAATTCGTCACTCGTGCTACTGTGGAACACTTGACTATAACCCTCAAAAAGCCACATCAGAGTACTGTGTGGTGGAGTGAAATAGGCAGTGACAACAGCTCCCTTAAATCTCTATCGCAATTGCCTTGAAGACGGGCCAGCGACGGGGAAAGATGTGGGAGTCTGAGGTTTCTGTCTTACTCTTAATGTTGGGGATCGAACAAACGCAATGATTACTGGACTGATGTTGTGTGTTGTCAGCGATGCTCTGCATTAAGAGATACGGCTTACCTTTCCATATCTACCCCAGTTGTCGTATCATCTCTGGCGGCTTCGCGGACGACTTGCATAGGAACTTCGCCGAATTCTTCAGCAAACGATTGAGGCTCTATAGGAGCTCCGCTTTCGATGTCAGTTGCGTGTATGCTAATGTGGGAGGGACGAGAGCGGTTGTAATCCCACCGCCTCAGATGTAAGAGAAATCTGGCTGTCATTAGTCCCGAGATACTACAATCCAACGTTTTGAATTAGCAAGGCGGTAAAAGATTCATCAGTACGTACGGTAACTTCAAGCCATTCAGTAATCGTTGAATGAAACCGATTTCTCTCTGATAGTTTAAGGTTAAGGCAGCCACCGATAACGTTGTTACGGAGCTGCGTTTCAATGAATGGTGAGAATGAGACTCAGGCATGGCGCATACATAATGTACAAGAGGCCTAATACAAAAATCGTTCAGTAGGAGTGGTACGAGGAGACGGCATTCCTTACCTTGTTCAAAAAGGAGATAATTTAGACTAGCTTTTTGTAGTCGCCATGGACCAACCGCTTTCATGGCTTGTACGATGCGGACTATGGTCAAAATTGCGGATGTGACTTCGAAGATACACATGAAAATGGCTAGAACCCCGCGAGCTGTCGAAGGCATCAAGTTCAATGTTCAAATGATGAGGGATGTCGCACCACTAACATAGTGTTAACCATCAAGTGAGATACGAAAGGGGGCGCGACGCACGCTGGTATATCAACTTCGCCTACGCATTTGAGTCCAGGAACATGAATCTGATCACCCCGTCAGCCTCATTACCACTATGGTGTGTCAAGACACACACAATGTCGGCACAGAGTGTGGCAATGGCCATGACCCCGAGAACCAGACCAACCGTCTGATTTCTGTCATAAACGGCGTAGGTTCTCATTCCCCAAACAACTGCCGAGCTGCTGAGGATGTGCGAAAGTGGGGAAATGGCAAAGGTACTCACCGAGAATACCTATTCGTCCCAAGACGCTGAGGGCACCGCTCACAACATAGCCATAGTCGCAGCTTGAACAACCTCAGGAAAATGAAGAGAGATATGTCATGAATCCCTACTATATTCTGGTAAGAGGGCCTCCTTTCGAAATGGCGGATAACATACCCTGACACTTAGCTTGTCCGCCAGCGCAAAAAGATAAACGATGTTTGCGATCAAAGCGTATCGGCACATGATATACAGAATAGTTGATATCCGGAAGCGTTGGCACCAAATATAAGTGACTTCTTCCTGGAAAGTTAGGATGTAGTCGTAGTAGAGAACAACTGGTGAAATCGATTGGTGCGGATCAGTTATCGGCATTCCGTGATCAATGCAGGGACTTGCCAATACTGCAGTATTGCAGGCTGAACTCCACACTTGGGAAAGAGGTGTTAGATGCGTTGAGTATATTGAAGATGAGGGCTCACCGACGAAGGTCATTGTTGTGCATAAGGTTTTCAAGCTCCCGCGATTCCTGTGGTCATCTTACTTATGTGCACAGCCAATTTCCACGGGCGCCGTGGTTCCTGAAGCTAGAGATTGACACCTGTCTACAACTGTTCCTGTGACACAATGCCACTGGCTTTTGAGCGCCGGTCGATCAAGGGACCTGGGGGGTGCAATGTGCCCAAGAGCGGAATGAGTTGACAGAATCACTCCCTCGTGGGAGTGAGGGAAGGAGTAGCTGGGGTTGGAGGATTGTGATCCTTCCAACATGCAATTTTTTGCTCGTCAGCGAACATCCGAGCCGGTGTCCGTCGGCGGCACAAGAGCGCTGAGGTGATGAAGAACGGTGCGAGATCCGACCACGGATCATCTATAAATGAAGCAAGAGTCATTCGGATACTTTCCAAATGTTGTCTAGCAGCCCGCTGGCACCAAGAAAGCGATGGTGAAATCGTCAAATCACCCATGGTATTCCATGATTGGATGCGTTCGCGTTGTACCAGTTCTGATCACAACTAACGGACGGCCTTCGTGATGAAAAGAAAGTACGCCAAATTGTAACTGACACTTGGTGATACCGGCGGGAAACACTCACAGATCTAGATTGGCTTGCCGGGTGTGAGCGACAGGCCACCTTCAAGGAGATCTAGCGATTTTCCCTCCTCACCTGTTATGTTCGTCGAATCGGCAGACCTCTTGCGAAAAGTAAGGAAGACTTGAAAAATCCATGCGAAACACGTTTGGTAACAAGGTCTTGGCATTGGCGACAATCGCCCCGAGGAAAGCCTAGAATAGCACGATGTTTTTCTTTATAAAGGTGGAGGGAAGGGATGAAACTTTGCTCCATTTTCTGTACAAACCCTATCGTAGAACGTCAAGACGTCTTCCCATGTAAAGTAAATCGTACCCACCGTGACTACTAAGTCCTCCGACAAGTTCCGCCAAGCCTACTCGGCGGTAGGTACATACGCAGAAAATTCAAGTTGAGACGCCACCTAGGGAACGGTTACTTTACGAGTACTTGAAGGCTTTCGACCCTCTGACGTCAAGAAAGTTGGTTGTTTTCATCTTGGATGACAGACGTCGGGGTCGGGGAATGTGAAGATTCAAATATTCACGTGGCATCGAATTATGCTAAAATTTTCTCACACCTGACCGCCACCAAAAACCACTTACTCGTGCTCAGAAATCGCCAGTCCAAAGGCACGACAGAATCAGACATCAAAATATCCAATTCCTCAATTACACCCGTTTTTGGTGAGTACGTATACATCAGCCTAGCAGATGCAGAATTGCGTCAGTCAAGCACGGAAAAAGGGCATTGAACATCGCCTCTAGGATTGGGACCGTGTCAAGCACCTACCGATTGCCATTTGACTGTCATCTCAGGCTAGACATGATCTGATGCCACCACGTCAGATGATAGCCCGATGGAGGTTGGTTTACTTATGATGCATTTGAACTTGTCGCTAAATCGCGAGCCGCTATTACGATCTTAGACAAACGGTATAGCGGATGTGGGATTTTTCGAGCAAAGCTGATGATTATAGATGATTATCTCGGTGAAAGCGTTGTCAAGGCGAGTTCTATTCCGTTTCTACGGTTCTCATTGAGTCCGATTATGACTTCTAGGCCGCTCATCACGTTCACGAGGCAGGCGAGACGCTTAATCGTCTATACAACTTACAAGTCACAAGCAATCTCTCCGAACTCATCGCGATGCTCACCAACGAACACGGGAAAGTCCCCACTGGGGGGGTAACAATGTATATGAGTTGCATCTGGAAGGACGGGATGAAGTCGTTTTTGTTCTCGTATGTTTCATTTTCACTTGACAGATATGGGTGCTTACCAGGAAAGCTTTGACGAAGCCCATCGCCACACCGACCCTTCCGTTTTTGTCCACACCGGCAACCACCGCCAGCTGGAAGAAATGGCATGGAAATCACATCACGACTTGTCTGGGCGGGAAGTACGAATATAGACAGAATGTTCCACCTTTGATCCCTGACAGGTCGAGATTGCGGTGCTGTGCCCTTACAATCTCACGAGGCTCCAGGCTCGGCTATGCGCACGATATGGGTCAAGACAACATTCATGGAAGTTTTCGGTACGGGGTACACATGACGGTCATGGTGGGTAAACGTTCATGCACATGTCTAGTTCTGATTACTGACAACTCTACGGTCGTTTTTTCAAGGGCTACAAAGCTTGCGGGTGCTGGCAAGAAGCCGGGACCTGATTGAGGTATTAAAATCTAAAAGAGCGTGGAAGGATATTCGGGTCGTTGATATGTGCAGTCACAAGTGGTGAACACGATAAATCGAAATGGGTGATTTCAACGGCTATTCGCTTTCATAGATCATTGCGCCTAATGACCAACGGTTTTAATTACAGGTGTTGCATCGTGTACATACTACATACAAATGGAATGAGGTGGGAGTATCGAAACTCATAAAGCAATAGGGGTAAGCAGTCCGTTCCGCACATACCTGATAAATTACATCGATTACCTGCAACAGCGAGGGAGCTCCAGAGGCGGAAATGGGGAAATTTTAAACCGGAAAACAGAATTGAGTTCACCATACGCCCGGAATCACAAATGAATAAGTATGATTCTTCAAGGGTTGACTCGCGGAAGCATACGAATTATCCGCCAATGCGAATAATGGCGAAGAATCAACACCCTCAATCCTAGCGTCATAATTCAAGTCACCAACAGGAGTGGCCGGAGAAGCCGACGAGGCAGGAGAGGACGAAAGCGAACCACTTGAAGATTCGGATCCATGATCGTTCATATACCCAACCTCCAACGTGGGCGCGTCCCTGGAAGCCTCCAGGCTTCGCATACCATCTGATGCCTTCTGAAAGCTCGAAAATCGGCCAGGCAAAGACATGCCCCTCGCTGGTTCAATGGAAAGCCTCGACACCAAAGAGCTCGAATATGTTGGATACCCCGCCTTCCCCTCAAAGAAATCGCGCTTCAAGGCAACCTCAAAATTCCGCAAAACCGAATCACAGACGTTCAATTGCCACTTCACAATCCCGCACATCTCCCTCTCCATTCGGTTCAACTCGCTCAGGCTGAAGACGCCTTGACCCACTATAGTCCAAGATTTATTCGAGTAGGTGTCATCGCACATTTGTTTGGCCGCCAGCATGAACGCGACGAGGAATAAACGATGGCCTGAGATCCCTCGCGATGATGAATACCGACATTTGAGACGGGTTATCAGGACGAGGGCCGCATATGTAACAGAGGGGTCCAGCTTCGTTCGGTGCAGGGCGTAAGCAATGAAGAGGGGGAGTGTCACTCGCGACGTCGTCGGCGATGGCGGATATTTTGGGCATTCGAACAGGTGCGTGATATAGCGCCCGCAGAGACGAGATATGGGCTCATGCCCATAGAAGGGGTCCCGCGTTGATGGTGGTCGTGGGATGATAGTGGGAATTGGTTGGTTAAGAAGGGTACGAGCTTCATGATTGAGGGCGGGATCCCTGGTGCTCGTGGTATATGAAGCGGTCGATAGATAGGCCATGATGCATAGGTAGGAGGAAAGGCTACGGCGGGGTGCGGCGTACCCTGGAAGGAAAGGATGGTATTGAAAGTTTACTCAACCCGCCCTTACATATGACAAAACCTGAAAAAGACACAACAGCATCTTCAACTTGTGTTGTCCCCTTATTTCCCGTTGGGGAATATGCGGCTCAAGGTCACAGCAATCCGCTTCCGGAGCAGCTATGTAGTCACTACCAAATCTCTGTAAGCTGTCCGCCTATGGCGCTTGTATGGCGCAGAAGATTCAAAGTCCTATACCTCCTTGTAACCGCGCACATTGACTTATGAATATATATCTCAGATCACTTCAAGACACAACCTCTCCTCTACGCTTGGGCGCCTTCAAGACCTATTTACTTTGACCTATGTACCTATCCAATGACTATTTCTGGGCGCACAGCCTTCCTCGTTAAAAACGTCGCTATCGTTAAGATTGCCCCTCGTTGCGTATCTGATGATGCTCTTACGTTGCTCTTACGTTGCTCTTACGTTGCTCTTACGCTTCGGACATCAGTTATACCCATTCGCGGAGAGTGGTGATTTCAGATATCTAAGGTATAGTTTTAAAAAGTAGGGGTTGCTCTAAGACGACCGTGGATTGGTTTGTGGAATGGCGCCGGCATCGCCTTCGGAGCAGCACAGAACGCCTTCCCTGGGTTTCCTTCGCTGCCGAAGCGCGAGTCGTGGGCTTCGCGATAGAATGTTCTAGTTCTTAAAACATCAACCATTAAAGAGGCACCAAAATGTGGTAGCAATGTACTTACTTATGCTGTATACGGTTGGCGAGCAAGGGCCAGGTCTGTTTTGACGTCCAGAAGTTATAAGAAGTGATATTTTTCTCTCTGGGGTCCAGGCTGTGACGTTCATTGTCACAATTATTAAAATTAAAATTAATAATAATATAATTCTTTTTAATATAAACAATTTATTACGCAATCCAGATGTACACCCCAACGCTCACCTTCAACGCGCCCACTGGCATTTTGTTCCGACATTTAACTTTCTCAGAGGCGAAGAAGCAGCCTATCAGCGATGTAAACCCTAAAGAGGCCCTTGAAGTGCCTGACATGTCAAGTAGCTGCCTTTCTCTTCGCTTTCCTCCCTACGCTAACCAGCATTCCAAGTTGTTTGACCTATGTATCCCCCTTGGATGCGACTACCTCGAGCCCATCAAAGACGTCGGTCTGAAATTCCCACTCAAGCTGATACGTGAGTATGGAGCGTCGTGAAGCACTTGAGAGAAAAGTGAGTTCTCGTTACCACGCACATCCTGTTGCTGATTCTCTTCCAGAGCCGCCATACAAAAAGCAGCTCAGGCTACCGTCGACTCGGACGAAGAGTTTGAGCATGAAGAGGAAGACGAACCAGCGCCAACGAGCGTGGAAGATCAAAGTCCTACACCCAATAACTCCAACGGGGGTAAAGTACAGAGGCCTTAAAGTCGAGGGTATCGAATGGATGCAGGAGAAACAGAGGATAGTCGAAGAGGCGCCAAGTGCACTCATCATTGGGGGTGGTGCTTTGGGTATTCGTGAGTTTCCGCCATTCAACGCATGGACTATGGATGTTGACGATGAACCAGCTGAAAACGAGAAATGCGGCCTATAAGCTTTACTCAACCCCTAGCTGCCCCTTTCCCAACGCCATGCCATCTCTCCTTCTCCACCACGAACATCGCACCGTGTATCGTCACCAGCGTCCACGTGTCTTCCTCCACAGGCGTCGACGCAGCATCCGCTTTCTTCGTCGGGACATACGGCCGTGCCCACGAACTCCCCGTCGCACTAGGAACACCAGCAGCTGGAGCCGTAGTGGTTGCAGGTGACGCAGTGGTGGGAGTTACAGGACTAGCGGAGGCTACTGCCGCTGGGGAAGGGGTGATGGGAGCAGCGGGGGCAGGCTTGGGTTTAGGCATACCGTTGGCAGCTGCTGCGTTTGCTGCGTTCATCCATGCGTACTTTCCACCTGGGCCTGCTGCTTGTGTTGCTACGGCATTGTAAATCTTCTTGCACATATTATATTTCTAGGGATTACTTACGCTTTACTGCTACATACTAATAGGGACGTTCAAAGCTGGGCGCAGCTCGCACGCATCTCGTAGCTCGCATTTGATGGGCTTAGTCAGGTTGCGATTTCAAGCTCCGCCAACGCTCCCATGACACCGGGTGGTGATGAAAATTATATATGTTCTAGGGTTATTGCCCGTTATAAGGATATTCCATAAATTTTAGCTGGGTATTTTACAGCTTTCGCAAAGAAGAAGTATGCCCAATTTCTGAAGAACATAGTTTTGAAGACGGCAGTCCTGGCATTAAAATTGACCTATATATGGAATATGCCAATTTATTAGTCATCCAGTAAATCGATTTGACTGAAAAGTCAACCAAAAAATTGATTAAGCATCGTAGACTCGTTTTCTTCGTTTAAAATATGTAAGATAGGTCATTTATTTACCTGATGCGCCTAAATGCAACATAAATACATAATGAATTCAGGTTGAGGAGTTATCGTACACCTAATGTACGAATTGATGTAGTCTCTCCTAGACAGACTTCGATATATGTGAAGTCGTACCTTGGTTCACGATATATGAAGTCTGTTATTTACCACGCCCTCCGAACCGCGTCAGAAAATGCTTATGTAAAGTGCGGACTTTGAAACCGCGTCGCGTCAATATTGTGTCGTTGCCGTTTGCTCTCAACGTGATAACTCATGCATTTCTACTCTAATACACGATCACACTTCAACAAAATTCTGCACGAGAACGTAATCTAGCCAAGCAACGCGGAAAAGGGAGGCCGCAAGAGCTCTCGACGATGACGACGTTGGCTTGACGTTGGCCCAATCATATCCGACCCGGGTCCTGAAGAAACGGTTCACGAACTTCCCAAACAACAACTCGATGAATTCCCAGACTGAAGGCGCCAAGCTCTTGAAGATACGACGAACACCACAATGCGGCGACGACGAGCTCCTAGAGCCACTCAGCTCAGTGTTGCCGAAGTCCTTCGAGACTATGGTCCGCAGTACCGCAGCCGCGAAATGCTGTTGTAGAAGGATCATTTGGGTAGTGGAAAAGAGACTGGAGGTCTGAGGGGATCGAAAAGAAAGTAATAATCATTGCCTACTTTAGACAGCGTTATGCTACTCCAAATTATATGTATAATCTTCTTCGTCGACACCGTTATTACCATCAGAAAGAGCTCCGTAGTCCTCAAAGCCATTGTCATCGTCACTCGAGTTTTCTTCGCCCTCTCCACAAGCTTCTGCGCGTCGCTTTGCGGAAGTTGGATGAGTTGAGGTTGGCTCAAAGATCCACCAAGGGAGCCAAGATTGTTGAATGGAGAGCCAAAAAATAAAGGTGTAGTGACGACCCATGTTGGTCATTTCGAGATGTCGCAAGAAGAGAACTCGATGGAGATGGCAGGAAGGGTGTGATAAACGCCGGAGTTTCGGGTATTTCACCGATTCAAGGGGGTAGCGGGACGTGGATCCCGAACCAAGGGTAGGAAGGGGGGGTGTCCGGCTGAAGGCCGAAAAAAAAAATGTTGACGCCGTCAATTTCAAATTTTCTCATGCTGGTCTCCTCATAACTATCTTTACACTGATCATGACCTACTTGCAACCAGTTGCACCACTCTCGATGCCTCGGATTCTTGCGACGCGGCTGGCCGTGGTGGATCCCTCACGAGTACCCTATAGCCGTTGTTTCAACAGCATGCTATATGCATCCTTACGATGCCTAGGCTTAGTTTACGGTCAACCGCCTGTGCGTAGCTTACTTGTTACACGGAAATTTTTGAATTCAAAGAGAAAAAAAAAACATGAGTATGGGGAAAACATACTTTATTAGGAAGGTAATGGTGGGGGGGTTGTCAGGCGGAACCTTGAAAAAAAAATAACGAGTGTTGGTCTCTTTTCCACATTCCGCCACCCCCTTGCACGGATTGGTTCTAATTTCTTGAAGGATCTGACAATTTGAACATTGTTATCCGTTGAGGTTGAGGTTGTCATCTAATACGAATGGAATTTGTGGTGGTAGATGGTGTTACAAAGGTTTAAACGCGTCGAGAGTTCTGAGGGCGTCTCTCAATATTGACGCGACGCGGTTTCAAAGTCCGCACTTTACATAAGCATTTTCTGACGCGGTTTTGGGGGCGCGGTAAAAACAGGACTAGAATTGATGGGAATCAAGTTCGGTTGCCGGTATTCTGGGAGGCCGAGCGGAACTTGAAATTGCAACCTGACTAAGCCCATCAAATGCGAGCTACGAGATGCGTATGCGAGCTGCGCCCAGCTTTGAACGTCCCTAATGCTACTTGAAAAGAGTGACACATATATGGTAAGTATATTCATTGTGAATACGTCGGTTGCCGATTGATGGCCGCATATTGCTAAGTAATATAATTAATTTTTGATATTTGCACTACAATTACATAATGTACAGCTTTATTGTTCAACTGCCAGCTCCCTTTCTTTGCGGTCTACTTAATGCCTTCACGATGTAACAAGCACTGGACACATGACAAGATAATGTGCTGATATACTCTAAAAATATCTTTTGAAAGTTCCTTATTTTCTTTTCTGTTTTCTGGTAAGAAACATGTAATACATCTCAAATACATCTACAAAGATTGTTTTCAATGAATGAAGACCAAATACTTATGAAACATGTTAAAAACATATAGAAACTTACTTGAAAGATATAGGGTCATTTTGAATCGTCTAAATACTTATCTCAATGGATTCAACATGTTTTTAACATGTCTTATCAATATTTGAAGATATATTACATATTTCTTGCCAGAAAAGAGGAAAAAAATAAGAAACTTTCAAAAGATATTTTTAGAGTATTTCAACACAAATTATCTTGCCATGTGTCCAGTGAAGCGAGTTACATCATGGTTAAATCATGGCCTTGCTCACTCATCTGATACTAAACTTCTGATCAATTTGTTGAAATGCTCAGGTCGTCGTGAGCACTTGGGTTGAATAGGGACCCTCGCAAACGTGCAAGGTCCTCTGATTACAACAAGCTACCTATATACATAGTACAATTTGAAATAAAAGGCATCACATCAACTATGGAATAACTAAGGAGAAATTACAGAGCAATGCAAACATTGTTTTCACGAACATGATCTTATTTTCAAAGTGGTTTCAAGACTAAAATTCAAGCACCTCCAACTCGCATTTTTACCTGTGGCCAGCATTGAATCTAAAGTATTCTGTATAGATAATCTTTCTCATGGCACTGATCTTGAATTTTTAGTTTGCATCAATCTTCAAAATTCAATAAACCCTCCTACATGAATGATGAGTCCATTGCCCATTTTTTAAATTCAACATCACTAGAAAAAAGATTAATAAAAGTATCTTGCCATGGTCTATTCTGCCCAGCTCATTAAACCCAAAAAACTAGAGACCACACCTTCGTGTGAGAGATGGTTCGGAGATGGTGTCCCTATTTGAGGGAGAGTGTGAAGTTGCAAGCATGTCAATCTCATCCCTAATGCTTTCAATAGCCCAATGAAACATGATGTCAAAATTATTGGGGGAGAAGTTGCATTTAGCCAAACCATCTTTGCCACTTACACAAGAATTAATGCCATTTGTGAAACTGTCCATGTAATTTATGGTCTTGTTTCATTGAGATGCCATCAGACAGTACTCCATAATTGAAGGTTAGTCTACTGTTATCTAAGAGTTGTGTGGGGCTGTAGGGTGGGATTTGTTGCACCTGGAAGCATTGCAGGGGGGAGTATTGCTGCCCTGGTTGGATGGTCCAGCCCTCCTGGGTGTAGCAAAAGTACTTTAACACTGACATAGCCATGCTTGAGATGTTAAAGCTTGGGGGTCAGTTGGGCTGTGTTGTGTTTTTGCAAGCAAGTACGTGCCTCAATGTTGTTGTATTTTGTCAATTTAGGCCTGAAACATCAAGTGAGTACTGTAATTGCATTGCAGAAGCCAGATTGTTGATATTCTTCAGATTGATAAGATACCCAGTAAAAATATGTGTTTGAACAGTGTCAATACTTCACGGATGTTAGACGGCAAGACTTGGCGATGGCAACGTGAAATTCTTCAATGCAGATTGCATAATAATGGTACAAATATCAAAAATCAATTATATTACTTAACAATATGCGGCCATCAATCGGCAACCGAGAATTCAGAGCAGATCAGTCTTGCTTTCCATAGACAAGGACCCCAGGCTCCTGTCAAATTTTTTCGGATCAGGCTCTATCAGGCTGCAAACAGACCTGACCCTGCTCACCAACCGTTGCTGTAATTTCTCGATCATTGACTTGACGAGCCACTGGGTATAGAAGAGCGAAGAGGAATTTCTGCCGTCGGAGGGACGTCGTTGAAATGGGTCACAATCAGACTATGTAAGTAAAGTAAGAAGAATGAAATTAGGTGGATATCAAAAGAATTCAAAGCTAAGCCCGATATCAAGCTTGCTTATTAGACTTGTACTTAGGTTTACTTAATTCTCTGCAAGTGTTTTGGGCACGTTCCAATTATTCGAGCGAATTTAAAAATTACTACGTGCTAACACAGCCAGTGGAGTTAATTCTCTTTCGTATTTGTTTCATATTGTAAACGATTACCAAGGTGCAACATGGCAGACATCTCTTTACAATAATTTACATTAAATTTACATCCCATCTGCTGTTCTTGCGCACTTATCTAATCGACTGCTTTCCTAATTACGTGCTGATACAGGCTGATACAATACTCTATTTTTGGAATGGGTCTTGGCATTGACACAAACGCTTCGGAGATAAGTATCGCCAAGAGTAGCGCGCCAGATTGTAATTTGTGATAGTTCCAATTTCTTACACCAAGTTGATCAGGATTTATGGACTAATTTTAACAAAATTCTAAAGGCCATTTTTGGGTAAATTTTACGTACATAGCTACACATTCATGGCGCATTACTGTTCAACTCCTACAACTTTAAGTTTATGCCGCCGGCCAAATTAACTCGGGAACTTATCTCGCGCCTAAAGCCCTCCTCGTGTAGGCAGATAAAGGTATGACATAATGACATATGTAGTCCGTTGGGTATATAACAATACGAAAGGACTTCGACACCCTAATCCGATGTCTTCATGCTCAGCGCTCATTCTCCTCTTCCTTTGCCCTCTCTTCCAAATCCTCCCATGTCACGCTCGAACGACATCCTCGAGGGATAAAAAAGACGTTCGGACAATAGTGCTTGCCGTTATCCTTGGTGAGCTCCCTTAGAGCTGATTTGCGCGATCTACTTATACATCACTTTTATCCGGGCGTCATCGTGGTTTCATGCCTTGTCTTCTGTTCTGTGATGAAAAGACGTCAACGTCGTACCCATATTCATCCACCATTGCGAGTTCCAAGGCAGAACACTGGCTTTGGCATACCTCTACAGTCCAATGTAGCTCCGATGGGTCGAGAATTCAAGCCACTTCCGCCAGTACACACCGGAGATCCCTCTCGAACGGATAAGAATTTCAATTGGGGACAGGCGCGTCATTTATAAATCGTTTCATAAGCAGAGTGCGAATTACCTTTGTCTCTTAGAGCGATGAGGAAGGATATACTGGCGGTAATGAACCAGCCAACGCGTATTATGCTGTGAGTCATATCGCGTCAGTTTTACAGGTAACTTATGTGTTGGTCAGAATCCTGGGTTGTTTCCCGGACGGTATGTTTTGACTTTGTCCCCGAAGGTTGCATTTTTGTCCAGCTTTGACGTGTTCTGGAATAAAGGGACGATACCCAACCAATACAATGATGATGCTAATCCTTACGCATGTTCTGATTTTTACATTAGTCTTTCATCACCATGAACGAAGGGAGAGGAATATTTTCAATTCTGATATATCCTAGTAAATACATTTGAAATTGTGGCGGCTGTTAACTCTTCAAGGAGGATATACCAACATCATCACACTCCCCGAAAGGAGAAGAGGAAGATCTACAACCGATCTACGACACACTCCACACACTGACTTTACAGCGTGACGATGGGCCATGCGTCACCCATCACATGTCACACTTTCCTCCTTTCCTCATCACCCCCACCATTGTCGACCATCCCCTCGCGTCACCCCACATCCAGCACACCCTATGTCAGCAGGCACGACAATGGCGCATAACGTGTAGGGAAAGGGATGCCCCTGCCAGCTTATCCAGCTAATCGACTACCACATCACCAGGTCAGTGAGCGCCACCCAGGACCGTGAACGCCATGAAAACGGTCTTGACACATCGCCAAACGCCGTGAGTACCTAACACCTGTCCGTCGACGGACAACAGACGCGAACGCAAACGGACGCCAAAAACTGCGAAAACCATCCCGAACACCAAAACGATTCAAACGTCGGCCAAGACACACCCGCGAATGTGGGCAGCCCACCCCACCTCGAAAATTGCCCCTCCCCTTGTCGTTGTCGAGGGATGTGGGTGTACAGAAAACCTCGAAGCAGGAACACAGAGCCAACGCGAAGACCGCTCGCAGCTCCACCATCGACTCACGATACGGGAACATCGACGGCTAGACACACCCACAAACCAGCTCACCACAAACGATAGGGGAATTATAGATGGCGAGGATCGGGCAGGAACTCAGTAGCATACGCGTCCAGCGTGGAAGTAGGGGTCTCCAACCACTTTCGAGGAGGAGTGGCTACGGCTTCCATCATCACCACTCTCATAATGTATATACTAGTGTCCTTTCCTGTATCATAGCTTGCTCTATATAAATTTTACACTGCTCATTCCTTGAGTACAGAAAGCGTTCGAGAACTTAGTAAATACTCCTATACATCATAGGACTTGATTCTTTCTAACTTAGAATAAAATTTGAACCAGAAGGTCCACATCTAGGTGTCTCACATGTATAATTGTTGACACATTACACATGAGTTAGCGACACATTACACATGAGTTAGCGACGCACTACACTCGAATATGTCGTTTATTTACGCAATGTGTCGCTTACTACTGATGGTGCCGCTGTCCCGATTTGGGGAGTGTGACGATGTTGGTACACCCTGCTCTTCAAGTGACCAATTCCCACTAGGTTGCTTTCCTCATCAAGTCCTGCCGTACAACGCCGTGTCCCTTGAATGTTTAAACGTATATGGGCCACCGTCACCCGACATGAGCAAGGACACCACCGCAATTTTCTGTAAACGTTGCCAACGTTGACAGAAAATTGCGTGGTATCTTGTCACATTTTTAGTATGCGGTCAACTGAACTTTACCAGGAAATGCAGATGCCCAATGCCTTTTCGTTCGCAAGAGGAGCTAGCCGTAGTATAAGCTGAACGCCAATATTTTCCATCACTTGAAGTGAGTCAGTTGGTGGGGGCGGGTGTGTGGGGAAGACGTTCCTTACTAAAGAAAAAATGAGGACCACGGGAAGTATTTTAAGCTCTTGGACGACATTCTAATTATATCCGCTAACCCATGAGGAAGTGGACAGTCATCAGATTCTGGGTTCTCCACGGAGATAGGGTAGCAACGAAAAGCCCAGAGAGGTGTTGGGATGAGAGGCGAACTTGGCGAGTGCTCGGAGAAATTCTTCGCTGAGATTAGACAAGATGGGCGGTGTGAAGCGATCCGGGAGGGGTGGTAATCGTTCGTCTGCAGAGGGGACGGTGTCCTCAACCGAAAGATTGATTAGATGTAAATTGCTGATGTGCGTGAATTGGTCGAGGAATGACGGGGAGCCAACCGCCGTCGAATATCACGGTGTGTTGCGTAAGAGGTGGTAGCAGCTGGATCGACTTGAAATGGTTGACCTCTTGGAGTAGATAGATTCAACCAGATCTCCGAGAGGCTTGTAAAGGACCGCGAAACACAATAAAGGGAATCGTCATCTTCCAGTGGTAATGCTCTGAGCCTCTGACGCGGCACTGATGTTTAGTTCAAGGGATCTGACGTAGCTGGAAAGATGCTGCCCCGGGTTTGTGAAGACCTGCGTGACTCGTTCATAAATGCGCACGGAGACGAAGTGGAGGTTGATTGATTTGAAGAGGTGTCTTTGGCGGAGGGGAGGGTCCATGAGGAAACGAGGGTACTTACAGTGTTTCAATGCAGATTTGTCGTCGTGAAGATAGGATACTACTATCTCTTTGAATATTTCAGCGGGAGTTGGGCTTCGAGAGAGCATTTTCTCGTTTGGAAATCAAGCACGCGCACGGCCGACACGAAATTCAACTACTTAAGAGACAAATCGATGTTATTGTTTGGTCACTGACTTGATCAAGTGAAAATTTACTCCGAGCTACACGATGCGCTACCTTGGCAGGCTCACTGTAATTCGTTACCAATTTCCTGCATAAAAAAATTGGGGCGCTCATGAAAGGGTTGGTCACCTATTCAAAAAGAAATTCAACTGCTATCTATGTGATTGGGGGCACCGCGGATCGAACGCGGGACCTTCAGAATTCAACTTCGTATGCTTCAGTCTGCTGCTCTCCCAGCTGAGCTATGCCCCCACGTTGGTGATGTGTAAGTATGGTCCTGGTAGGATAGCCCAAGGTGAACCTAAGCTGGTCAAATTAGTAATAATGCATAATGTTTTGAGCAGCTTATTTAACCTGGTGGCGTGATTCCAGTTCGTCATCCGCATACGTAACGTTGGTCAGCATTGTATTTCGTTACGGCGAGTATCTAATAAAGAACCAAACGCAATGATTCGTGTCAGGAAGTTCGTTTCAACTTGAAGCTTGAAGCTTGAAGCTTTGAAGATTTGAAGGCTTATGTTCCCCGCTGAGGCGTGGTGGGATGTCATGTATTGTCCCAGGCTAGAGGTTGCGAGCTGAGCCAGCGTCAGATACTTATACTTGGCTTGAAGTGTGCGCGTGAAGGACGACCGACCTTTCAAGATCATCCCCTCAGCTTCCATTGCGACTGTAGTTGTCCCACTCAGTAAGCTCCTCGTCCTAGCCCGTCACCGCCTGCTCGACCAAAGGGATCTTCTATCGTCCTCGCCCTCCCCTGTTTTTGTAGTGCCCCAGCGAGACCGCATATCTCAACGTCAAGCCATGCGTATTGGGCGTCCTTTGTCGTCAATCTGAAGCTGCGCGGGAGGTAACTGCTTGGATACCCAGTTAAATGAAAGTACGTATGTCGCGAACGACAAATAACTGACCTTCCTTCCTCTTCCGCTCAGAGCATCGCCGCTACCATCTGCGGATGAAGGCGAGTCAAGTGGAAACTATATGACTGAAGATGACTAACCATTCTCGTCGTATCTTTCGGCAGTCGGCCTCTACCATCTCAAGACCCACCATCGCCTCCTGCCCCTCTTTCCACGCGCAATTTCGTCCATAGATTGACAAACCCCAGAGTCGCCCCGCGGTCCTGACGGGATGTAAGAGCGGGGTCTGGACGGAGGGACAAAATCAAAGTGATTGGTAGAATGTGTGCAGGCGAGATGACTGTCACTGACCTTTCTCAATTCTCTCAACCACCCTCATTACCCCACTTGACACCGCCATTCCCATGTGAGCTTTGTAGAGCAGCAAGAATCGTCTCTCAATCGACCCGGTGAGTGATATATGACGAGGTCAGCGTCAACGCCGTCGTAGTAGGAGAATAGTCCGGATAGCAAAGTTCGCGCCGAGTCAGGTGGATTCAAAAGACGACAATGAGAGTATGTATATGGGACGTGATCTAAGGCAATAGCGACGAAAATCAGCGTCAAGATGCGAACTGCGAAAAGTCAGGTTGGAACAATGGAACTTGGCAAAGGAGTGCGTGCGTTGGACTGTTACAGATTCAAAGAGTCCACAAACTCCCGTGTATCGTCGGTAAAAGGAATTACGTCCAGGGATTGAAAGGGGTGAGTTGTGTTGACGTTGTGTCGCAAATGAGGTCGGACCGTGGAAAGCAATTTGCGTGACGTCGGCTTCTTTGATCCGATTTGTTTCAGAACTCTCCGGCTACTAAGCGGAAAAATCAAATTCTCCAGCGTAGTATGAACATATCCTGGCTGATCACAAAGATGTCTGCCTCAGGCTTAGGCAGAGGGGTTATCCAATAGCCCTTCCATCCACGGTATGAACGAAAGGATACTTGGAAGCGTTTGCTGCCATACTTGATAAGACTTGAAACAGGAATTACTTGTCTGGGCTAATCTTGGGCTCATCTGAGGGTAACGATAAGCTTTTAGATCGTATGAAGTACATATTTTTGGCCGGGGGCGCTCAAGAAGTTTGATGAAATCATGGACAGCTTGTTCTAATCAAGTTCTAATCCCATTCGAATCCCCAAGTTATACTCTCTGGATGCCGTTAAAAAAATCATACGAGTCGTATTTTGAAAATTTGTACGATGTTACCTCTCACAACAGTTTGAACAAATTAAGACTGCCAAAGACACACGCAAGAAAGTCCTGATCCAGTTTTTCTTGTTCACAAAAGGTGGCATTCTACCGTCCAGCTAATAGCTTACGCGGTGACTCACCCAGTACTATTTGGGAATAAGTTGCGACGTCAAAAGCCGAGATTGAGCGGCACAGGCAGCGCAGCACCTTGCGCCCAACAGTCACAATCAAGGTCCAAGGATGCGCGCATGGGAGGACAACGCCACTGTGAGAGAGTGCCTCTTGAATTTTTACCTCATTTGCCGAAATGCGGGGGAAAGACAAGAGGCAACGTAGTCACTTATCAGCGGCATTACTACGGACCAGTGTTCACATCGACTATTCCTTCCGTATCATACATAGCTTTACTCTCCAATTCAGATCTCATCACTGATGAAACCGTGGCAAAACCGTGGTGCGATTATTGTAACTTGTTTTCCCTGGATCCGGGACCGATGCGCTGATTTTTGTCATCCCCAAGCCTAAGGTGAGCCCTATAAAGCTGCTCGACTTCTCTTACCTACTTAAAAATTAGCCAGTGTAAACTCTTCGACAAGAAATACCACCACCATGAAAGTCGCTTCTCTCCTTCCCTTCGTCGCCCTCATCGCCTCCATTGCAGTCGCCGCCCATGGGGTATGTACCATCCTCATAGGCGTCAATATCCAATAAATAACTTTTACAGGACTACAATGAATTTGAAGCTCGTGAATTCGTGGATGCCCTCAACGCCCGTGAGGCGGTGGAGGAGTTTCACGCCCGCTCTGTCCTCATCGAAGACCTCACGACGCGTGAGCTGGTCGACGAATTGAATGAGAGGCTTGCGCGTCGTGGAAATCTCATCAGCAAACCCAAAACTTATCAATGCCCTTACTGCGGGTCGAAGTATCCAACAGCCGCTCAGGTAAGGAAGAGTCACTAAATATTTACTCGACGTTTTAGTGACTTTACTTTGCAACTTTTCTATTAGGCAAAGGACTGCAGCAAGTTTTGCAAAGCGAAGTAAAGGGCTATGGCTAGCAATGACTTCAGGTGTTTATCGATAGTTTATCTGCGATGTAACTTCACGAGATAATTTATTTTTCCAAACCTCTTCGAGACTACAGTACCTGAACGGGTCATCTATGTCTTATAATCTATGTCGAAGCCTAAGCCGCGAAAGGCGCCCTGACGTATTTCCGCCTGTACTTGGCATCAACACTATCAAGATAATAAGCACCCGGCCAGATATTCTCGATCAGGCCCTCTGGCGTGTAATCAACCGCATTGTGATTCTTTTCCCGTAGCTAATAAAAAAAATCAGCGAATGAATCGCATCAAGGGGTTCAATTACCAACCTCCAACGCCTTGATGAACTCCTGAGGAGGAACCACACTCATCTCTGAAAGCCGTTCCAGGAGGTTCATCTGCCGGCTGATCTCCGATGTATCTCCCTTGATGCGGAGAGCGAAGAAGCTGGACGCGAATCCGCTGCCAAATGAGAACAAGCTCACGCGCTTTCCTTGAAGCTGCGTGGTTTCGACGTTGGACAGCAATGAGGCGAGGCAGCCGTACAGCGACCCTGTATACGTGTTTCCAAGGCGCCGTGAACAGGACATACCGGGATCGGTCTTCTGCTTGAACGATGCTTTTGACGCGGCGATGAATGTCTTCTCAACGTTCTTATCTGTGAGTGACTCAGCATGAGTCGCAGCGAGGAAGGAATCTGCGTTTGGGATATTGGCAAAGTGGGGTGCTTTGGGGTTATCGAGGAAATCATTGAACAGCATGCGTGCATGGCCCTTGACGGCTTGCTTGCCGTATGGGCTGTGGAAAAGGGCATAGTCGACACTTTGGAGGGAGAAAGACGATTCGGCAGTCAAGTTGGAACCGTGAAATGCGGCACGTTTGGCAGCTTTGGCTAATTTCTCGCGGAAGAAGGTGTACGCGCCATCAAGGGCTGCAACATATGTAACGACGGAAACAGGACCGTCGACTACAGGGTATTCGGAGGAGAGGTTTGGTTTATAGAAGTCGTATGTGTTGCACATGTAGTTTCCATGGATCGCTGAAAACTATGGGTTAGAGATAGAAGAGGATATGATGAACGTCGACGAACATTCGAATACCACAGGGGCATTAGGGCCAATGAGAATGGCAACGCAGCCCGCACCACCAGCTGGTCGAGCAGCACCCTCAGCGTAGACGGCGATATCGCCAGCGACGACAATGGCGTTCCGCCCATCCCAGGATCTCGACTCGATCCAGTTTATGGCGTTAAAGAGCGCAGCAGTACCACCATAGCAAGCATTCTTCGAATCGATACCTTCAATATCAAAGTTCCCAGACTCTGCGAAAAGATCCATGAGAGTCGTTTTCACAGACTTGGATTTGTCGATGATAGTTTCGGTGCCGACGTCGAGGCGGCCAATCGATTTAGGGTCCACATTGAATTTCTCCAGTAATCCTGCGACCGCTGTAGATTGAAGGTTGAGAATGCTAGCGATAGTGACGGCTTTTGTGCTTACCGTTAAGAGCGAATGAATTGATGTCTTCACGATCATCTGGCCACGCCATGTACTCTTGGCCTAGCCCAATGGTGTATTTCCCTTGGGGAACGCCGTCAAATATTTCGAGGTCGGCTTCAGAAATGCACTGTAGGCACCATTGCGTTAATACACGAAGTTCACCAGACGAAAAATTTGATTACTCGACGGGGGAAATAAACTTCCATCGCAAGGATACCGACATCTTTCGGACGGGGGAGTTGGTTATCGATGACGGGAGTGGTAGTTGGGATGGTCATGTTGGAAATCGCGAAGATAGAAGGAGCTCTGGAATGTGTGATTTGGTAGTGGGGATCAATGGCTTCCCGTTGGAGCTTATATATCCACCGAATTCGATGGTATCAACCTCTGCTCAGCGAAAGCACCCTTGGCCACGGCGTTTGGATGTTCTCCTACGCCCGCTCCCGATTGAGATAGCGTCTGCAATGGAGCTTCGGTCGAGAGTCTCTCCCCCCCGTCTGCGAAAAAGTGATGGAGCAGCGCTTCGGCCACACTCTACCCTGGTCCACAGGGCCTGATTAATTATTGACGATCGCAGAAGCATTCGCTTTTGACTCGATTAGAGCAAACACCAGCCAATCACCGAGACCACGGGTACGTGTAACTTGGCCTGAACGTTGCCTGAATGACAAATGGTAAATTTAACATGAACGTTGAATGATAACAACTATTTTGAATACAACTCACCCATTCCTTCAGGTTCAAGTCATCTTTACAGCAACTTTCCAGCGGAAAAGTGAAGCTGAGCAGCGAGTTGGCATAGAGAATCTGTCACGCGTCACATCTATACATGTTCTGTGATATGTGACTCCACTGGTTTATTTTTGGAAACCTTTCGTCAGTGTCCGCTCCTTTTGCATTTCCAGAACCCATCTCTTACAAAATTTAATGCTCGCAGAGGTGTTGAGTCATACAGAACTACAAAAAAAAAACGCATATCTTGCACCGAAGCTACGAACCAGCAGCACAAAATGAGTAATGTTCTTTGGCTCCACAAACAAACATTGACCTGAGGAGCAACGGCGGGAAAATGGGAATCATCTGTTAACTCAATAAATTTAGAGTATACGAGAGCGCGGACGAGGAGGGAAAAGATCAAACCCAGTAAACTGAGCGATCGATTATGAAGGAACAATTTTGTACACAGGGTGTCCCACTCGCTCAGGCTGGGCGAAACCATATATACCTCAACCTCTACTGCCGGAGGGCGTTGAGCGAGAAGGACTAAAAGGATTGAATGCGAGCGCGTGCCTTTTAAATGTATCTGACATCTATGTATTGCGACTAACAATCTATCACTTAAAACGGACTAGAACTCATCACAATTAGTTGCTCCTGGTAACCTCACAGGGAATCGGGAATCACTTACCGAAAAAGTTCGTCAAGAAATAATCCCAACGTCAGCCAGAAACAGACTGACGCTTCAACCACACATGTTCTATAACTTCCACCACAGTCGCCCTGGTCCCTGGATCTGGATCTAAGCACCTCTTCATCAAATCCACGGCCTCCTTTGACGGGCAGGACGCAGCACTCCTCGACAAAAAAATCCTCCCATCTACCGCGTCCCACACATTTGCAAATGGAGACGCCCCCGTAAGTAAGTATGACAACAACACTCCCAACGTCCAAATTTCGGCGGGCGCCGCTTGATACGGTTTCCTGCGCAAGATTTCGGACGCCGCGTAGTGTGGGGTACCGAAAAATTCTGTGTAGAGGGGACGTGAATCATTTGGATCGCTGATCGTCGCGCTGCCAAAATCGATCAACTTGATCTGTTCAAGGTGATGTTTTAGCACCAAATAGAAGTATAGGCGAAATAAAAGTGGAAGTTGCCTTGAAGTTCTTGTCGATTACTATGTTTTCATCCTTGATATCCCGGTGCGCTATTCCTAAATCACCGAGATATTGGACTGCATCTACTAGTTGAGAAAAGACATCGCGAGCCTGCGACTCCGTGAATCTCTGATGAGGCGCTTGAGTAACGCACTCGAACAAGTCGTACGAAGGTCGGCGGGAAAAGATTAACCGTGGATTATCCTTGGGTGGTATACTCGGGCTTTCTTGGATACCGACTTTATAAGAAGGCGCTTCCACCTCGTGACACTCATCCGCTTGACTCGGTTGATTATAGGTTGAGCTCAACCGATGTGGAGTAGTCGGTTGGATGGAGTCAAGCGAATCCACAGAACCAGCATAGGAAAGGGGAGGCGTTGATAGCGACGTATTGGTGCTCTCAGGTGCGCAGCCCACTTGCAATATTTCGGCGTCCGTCCAAGGTGAGCCATGTAGTTCCTGAACCTTGAAGAAAAAAGGCTTAATGTTACATGCACAATCGAAACGAAGGGCTCACAAGATAGATATACTTAGAATCCTCGAAGATATCCAGACACTTCACAATATTCTCGTGGTCAACGAAGCTTAAAACGACAACCTCCGTTGGTAGCTTCCCAATGATATCATCGTGAACCCATGAACGGGCTGGAACCTTACTTTTGATGATAAATTTCACCGCAACTTCGCGTCGTTCCTCACGATGGCGCGCAGTCATCACAAACCCGTACCCGCCGGAACCCAATTCATCCTCGAGCTGGTATATCTCCACGAATTCTTTAATGAGGCGATATTGTGGGCGGAATTTCGGGGAATGGAAAGAAGCTATGTGGTTGTGTGCGACTGAGGCGAGCGGAAGGGAGTGGCGCGTGCCTCTTCCCAGAAGTTGATTGTAGCTCGATGTCTCACGCAAAGGGGGACGCGACATTTGGGATTGAGGCCTGATGAACGTCAACCGGCGGGAGCATTCGGGATCCATGTTGGAAGAGGAGCTTGAGAAAAGCTGATGTAAAGCGGGAAAACATCCTGGTTGTAAATTTTTGAAAGACGGCTCATCAGCAGCCAAACTTGACTGGGGTTGGGCGGTCAACGGAGTAGGCATCGTAATGTTCCACAACTTCGAGGAGAAGAGGCATGAAAGCATCTATATAGCAGTGATGGTGATAGGATTCCACACCTCGGGTACAAACCCCCTTCGGGGACGATAGTCAACCACTGCTAGATTCGGCCGGGCTGCCTTGGTGATACTTTTGAAGAGTACAAACATACACCCTCGGTCGTACAGAGACTGCGAAGCCGAACACCTGGCCCCGAGTCCGTTGATCCGCCCCGTCATGACCGATTGACCAGCCATTCGTACATATGGGCATGTCCTGATGATTTGTATGTGTGATTGGCGAGCCCCGAATAATCTGTTGATGACCGAATCCGAGTGGCGTGATTAGACGCAAGACGTCGAAACCCAAATGGTGACCGATGATCGATGATCGCTGACACAGATAACGCCAGGGCCATGAATGACCGGTACCGACCTATAATACATTGAAGTATTAGCGTGAAAAAAGACAGTAGAAGCCAACATTGGAGGATAAGGAAGCAACAATTTGTTTCAAGGATGAACGAAGTGTAAGTGAGGGGGATTGGATGTAGCCTAGTAGGGTCGAAAAGCTTCGGTTTTCCGTAAATGAACTGCATGAACCGATGCTAAATTTCAATACACGAGACCAGTCAAAAGGGGCAGTGAGAGCGCATTGAAGCAGAAGGAAAAGGTCAAGAGGAAAGAGAGAAAATTATTGTAAAATTTCCCATCACGTGCTAAATGCAGGTGCACGTGTCAACATGCAAAATCTCAAGCCAACTTGAAGCCAACGTTGAGCCTGGTGTAAATAAATTTTGTAGCGTCCTTCATTTTAACTCAGGCCTCAGGCCTGCCGCCTCAGGGGTTACTTGAGTGCTGGTTACGCGCATGGCGTCTAAATCGGGCGATGCTTGTTTATTGTTGTTGACTTTTGAATTGCTTACATAAAGTAAAAGTTGAAATCAGCCCGCATGCGACCAGCATGAAACTGCGAGCTTTGCCTTTCCTTCATCGTTTACCTAGAAGCCCAAATTCAACTTCAACTATCGAGCCGAACGACGACTAGCTCTTCGTGCACCTTGGACGACCAACGGTCACAAGGCCGATTCTGATATGAAGTCTCCTGCCGGCGGACGTGACCCCTATAAAGCATTTTTGAAATCCCCACCCAACCTAGCCCGACCTCCGTCATCAAGAATGACGCTCCCCTTGGTTTTGAATGCATAAGTGCAGAGAGAGGTGGAAACCAGTGGAGCAGTTCATGTCAAAGTTAGTCGCGATTTTCTCGGGAACTCATCCTGCGGCAGCGTTCCTCAAGACCTCCTACAAATTCTTCATAGCCGAGCCCACTTTGAATTAATCAATCAAATGCCCACGATTCCGTGATTCAATGTTGAAATAACAACCGGCATACATATACTTAGCGTCGTTCACGACCTTCAAATTCGCCCAACATGCCCCAGGCCAACCCCCTCACTGTCAACCTTGCCGGATTATGCGTCGAGGGCACCCTCTACGGCATATTCTTCACACTATTCGTTCTATCCTCAGCCCTCCTTATTTCTAGGGCTCGTAAGACCTCTCCTCACGCATCGATATGGTCTATCCTGTGCACACCTCTCATCGCCGGGTCTCTCGCTATGTTTGTTGCCATCACAGTAGTAAGTGAGCGCAACGTGGCTTGCATGGTTGGAGGCTGACATTCTCTGTCATTCAGCATTGGGTCATTGAAGGCGCACGTCTCGTTCAGGCTGTGAACTCTCCCGAAGGCCCCCTGATATTTTACTTGGAATGGAGCCAACCAACATTCGTTGCTGAGATGGGATTTTTTATCGCTGCAGCCGTGATCGGGGACGCTCTCATTGTAAGACACTTTTCTCTACCGTCCTGAGTCTCAGTCTCCTTTACTTATCTCGTGAAGATATATAGATTGTGGGTCGTTTGGAACTACAGGAAACTCGTGGTCGTCTTCCCTATCCTAGGTCTCGTGGGCCTTCTTAGTGCGTTCTCTCTTACCACTCATAGATATTACGAGGGTCGCTTATCAACCTCTGCGTTTCCCGAATCAGCTTGCGGAATTGGCCTAGTTCAGGAATTTCCTCAGCTGGAAACGGGAGCGGGTATTTTCCAATCAAGTGCAGCAAGATGGGCTACTCCCGATTGTGTGTTCACCATCTGGTAGGTCATTCGACTGCTTCTCCTTTACTGAGCAGCTCACCACACGTCTGTGGGTTGGTTAGCACCAACGTTTATTGCTCTGGTACGTCTGTCCTCTCATTTGTTGTTACACAACAAGGCATAACCCGTTCTCCACAGCAATGATCGCTTACAAGTTGTGGTTGGTCGACTCGAGATCGCAGAAATATGGTGGACCAAGTCTCGGTGTACGTGGCCTCCTTTTTTAACCACAGCGAACCTTCAACGTCATATAGGGAGTCCTTGCCATAGTCGTCGAAAGCGCCACTTTCTACACGTCCGTCCTCCTTTTCTGTTTTCTAACTCCTGATGCTCATTTTCGCGATATACCTCAGGGCTTGGGCACTCGTCTTCTTCGTAACATATCAAACACACCAAAACATATGCTTCCTCATCGTGAACTGCTGGCCCGCCGTCTCAGGCATTACATGCATGATGATTAATGTGCGCGCAGGCCTTGGGTGGGCGCTTGAGGGAACAAACAGTAACTTGAACACCTCTACAGTAAACGCCAGCCGCGTTGTGTTTGAGGGTATTGGAGATTCTAATAGCAAGGCGTACGTCATGAACCCTTTAGCATCTGATTCAACGAATGGCGATCAGAGTGGTTATGTTGGGGCTTTGAGGAAGTCGCGCCAGTTGGCTATTAATGTGCAGCATACCCACACTATGCATGCCGTATAATATTTGATCATGTAGTTGGGTACTCGCTGATTGAGCGGGGGTTGAACAATAATTTGTGCGTCAGATTCTTTTTCAATGTCGTTTATCGTCGGATTGAGGGGCCAAGAATTGTTGAAAGGCATTTCTGCTTCGTCTTGGTTGACGGAACAACCCCGATCGCCGTTGGTTATTGTTGTCGGACAGAGGAAAGCTCTAGCCACATTTGAAGTCGGTCGAACTCCTCAACAATGTGGAATGACGTAGTATAGGAAATAACTGCAGTCATGTACAAGTCATGTACCCGGACGTCTAAAATCGAAAGGCGGCCAGCAGGATTCAAGCTCTTACAATCCAAACTCCCGACCTTCAAGTCGACGATTCTCATAAACATCAACCTCCCAGTGCATCGCTTGCATACGAGTCGTCGAGTACAAGCTGATGACTCTGAAAATTGGCAGAGTGGGCTAAGACGGACATCAAATTGCGAGCCCTATTCCGTCCAGATATTTGACAGAGAAACTTTTGACGGGCGTAGAATTTCATTTGCCGAAGCTGGATTAGACTCGGGGGCAAGAAGGTAGAGTAATGCGCCATCGAAATTAATCACTTGCCAATGGGGGCAAACATGAGAGAGAGTCCTGAGTGCGGAAGATCGTTCGACATCAATGTCGTTTGTCGTATGCTCAAAGTCAGTGGAAGTCTTGAGATGGGGGCTCACGCAGCATTCTGAGGTACGCAACTCTCGAGTAGCCTTTTTCTTGTACTTGAGTTGGCTGGACGAAATGAACTAGAAAGCATGGCATGTCTTGTATGATTTCCGACGTCTATATTAAGAACAATCGTAGGAATTAAGCGTTTGGAATACGCGGCAAGCTCCCGGAGCTCGAAGACGGAGCGCAGTCATACTCGTCCAACCCACTCTCACGTTGAGACATGTTGAAGAAGGACGTAAGGATGAAGTTCGACCGGTGTGCGCTACGTACGGGCTCGTCAATACGCAAAGACTGCATGTTCATGATGATCCGGCAAGTCTACAAAAAAGCAGCCTTGAGACGAGTCGACGTCCAATCAAAAAATGGCTTACCACAACGCTGAAAAACGTATGAGGCCAACTGCGGGGTTATTAGATCGCAGGTACGCAGGTCGGTCAATTTGGTGGTACGTACATGAGAAGCGGCATGCTGGGGATGGCTTCCTTAGTGAGGAACGCAAATGGGGTTGCACAGAGCACAATGGCTTAGATACATCGTGAGGCGGCAATGAATGGATTAGAAGTTGATTCACTAACCACAAATCGTAACCAACACAATGGACCCATCGCGTATCACAAGCCGCAACAAGGGATGGATAGGGCCATTGTTTAGCCTCGTGATAGACAGGTACCACAGGCTGATATGTAGGACGCAAATTATAGCGCTGGAAAGGTTAAGATCAAGGTTGTCAGGTATCACTCAGTCAAGCGGAACGGGAAGGGACAGACGTTAGGTAGATCACTTCAACAGGTGCTCGAACCCAATTACATGCTTCATCGAAAAAAATCTCCTGTGACCCTTGTTTCCCGTGCGCGATGGTGAGAGAAGCTTGAGTCAGGAATAGAATCATCAAATAAGCGCCGACTCTTTTCGATTGATTGCACAAAGCGTAAACTAAGCGTCTTTGAGCATGCTTATACGGAATATATAAAAGATGCTTACCTCTTAAAATTAAAATGTAATCTAATATAGCTTGGAGGGAGGCCGAAGAGACAAAGAGGAACGTATGCCATGATCGACATGCGTGCATCTGCACTGGGACACGAAAGTTCAAGAAGAGGTACACGTTCACCCTGTCGATGATGAACAAGATCAACGAATTGCAAAAAGAAATCGAAGATAGAGCTCACACTTGTGATAATATCCCATAGTAGCGCGCGAACAGATAAGCGCCCTTTACTTGATTAAACGGAAAGCTAAGAAAGAGCCGGTGAAGAGTGGCTCAGAGAAGTGAACATGAGTACGTACCTCCAGATGTGATGATACTCTTGAGAGCAAGTCAGAAAGTACTCCCAGCATAAGAGGGTCAACGCCGCCACTGGTCTTGTCAGCTTCGGTGGTTAGTCAATCGATGCACCAAACTGACCAGAGGAGTACTGATGAGCCAGTAAGGTTGATGGGAGCTGGGAGAAGGGGTTGTCAAGGTCGAATGGAAAACCTGAGGGTTTGCGCATTCAAGTTGGCGCAAAGACGTCGACCTAGAGGTCGTCGTCGCGTATGATGAGGGGAGATCCAGAGAAGCGACAGGGAGCAAAGTCAGGTGCGTTACTGTATTTTGAACGTCAAGAACTCAATCAATTATTATATATTAACGGCGATCAGTGGGCGTTCATACTAACCACCTATAGTAACGCTCAAGGGACGATGTCGCCGGCAAAGGCCGCAGGCACGGGTTCGCCATGATCACTACTGAAAAGGTGCCTGCTATGCAAGACCTGTGGACCCTACGTGAGTAAAGGTTATCGGACGATTGAAAAGTGCCCTAGGGTCTCGCGTATTACGCGTTGACCGTTGAGGTCAGCGAAATTATTGTGAGTAAAGCAATGGGCTGGTTGCTGACATGAGCTGACATGTGGGATACTTCGGTCGTGATGTTGAACCGGCGGGTGTCGGCGGCATCGGGGATAAATCTGACCTTCAGTCATAGGAAATAAAGGGGAAAATTCACGAGGTGAGCGCTCACGCGCACGAGCCATCAATTTCGATCGAGAAACCATTTCTCGAATCTCGTCTGATGCTCAGCTCGAGGACGCGACCAAGACGCGACTTGGAGGCATGAGCGCTTAGACTTCCGTGAGGAGAATTGTTGAAATGAAACCGCGTCCAAGGAGGCTTCAGATGGAGGATAATTAGATACAATACAGAGGCGAGGATTCAGATGCCCTTACCGCTCACAAGGTGCGGTATTGGCGGCGCAGTCCTTGATCCGCCGATTTCTCCAGAATGAGGCAAATGCGATGTTCTCAAAATCAACATGTTTCATAGACTTGCATTTCACGAGGATAGTTGAACAAATACATGGTATACACAGAAGAGCAGAGAAGCCTAGGGAAAAGGTGGGTCTGACGTACGCCAAAAAAAAGACGAAGGCAACAAACGAACCAACATCAGGTCAATCATCATCCCCAGGCGCCACTTGTCCCCGCCTATTCCTCTCAGAACCAGAGCGCTTGATATGAACATCCCGATGCTCGACTACCGCCTGCCAACCCTCCCATTTCCTCTTTCCGAGCTCTTCAACGAATGCAACGCTGCGATGCTTGCCAAGCTGACAACAGACTCCAACCACGACCTCATCGTCCTCCTCAGTATCAACTTGCTTCAATTTCTCCTCGATCACGCCACACGCGTCATCAAAGCGCTTCTGAACATCGCTATCAGCAAAGAACCAGTCCCTGAGCGGTTTGTTAAGGCCAGTCTGAGAAGATCGGACGTGTTTGGGAGGGTTAGGAAGAGTTCGGATGTCAAAGACAACTGCAGGAGTTGGAACGATAGGCCCGCGACTGTGCCCATAGGAAATTAGGCGCAGAATAGGGAGGTCGGAGATGGTTGTGTTGTGGTTGGGATTGGGGATAAGATCGTCGTCATCGGATCCAGAGTCTGTCTCTTCGAGCTCGAGATCGACAGCCGCAGCTTCCTGCGCCACTTGCTGTTCTGAAAGTGACATTCGTCGTCGTGGGGAAGACAGAGATGTCTCCACTGATTATATCGGCACGCGACCACAGATGTGCCATGTTTGGCAAGGCGGTAATCTCAAAACCATTGCAAACATAATGTAACTCTCTCATCATATCAACTCACCATAGAAACTCTCAACTACGTGGGTGAGTTTCACGTTTCCACGATGTCGCTGATAATACTACTTAGCAGTCAAACCAACTTGAACTCCCTACCCTGGTGATGGCTTTACGACGCAACGCATCTTATGCGCTCTGAACGCTGAGGCCGCCGTGTGTACAGGAATGAAGGGCAAGCCGTAACGTGAAGTTGAGAAGCCTTCTGGCCGCAACATCCCTTCCTTGTCGCCCATTTCCCGCATTCTCCAGCTTCCTGTTGCTGTGCGTTGCCATGACCTATCTTCCTCAAATACCCATTCAACGTCTGCATTAAACAACACATAATCATCCTTGTCGATCACTGGAATCTCAGAGCTTTCCGAGAGATACTGAATCACCCCTACAAGGAAGCTGCTGACTGAATGGCATCTATTCGGCCTTTGTGAAGGGGGAAAAAAACGTAGCGGCTCACGGTTTTGCTTCTTCGGCAACCCCCTGAGCGGCCTCCCGACAGCTCACGAGCAAATTTGGCTATAAATAATCCTCAACTCGCGCCCCGAGCGGGTTCTTTTTCCGCTCCGCTCCGCCTCGAGTCGACTTGAGTTCTTTTCTGATTCCCACGGTATTCGGGATCTCCTTCAAATGGTCGTCCGTTGATTCGCTGTGGAGGACTCTTCGCACGACTCGAACCAGGATCTTATTCTCATGTTCTGGTCTATGCTGTCGATTTCGGGTTTATTATCATCGCATTACTTCTAAATATCCGTCATTGAAACGTTTCTTGCTCGCAGCTGTCCCCTCGAATTCACCCTCCGTTTCGAGCAACTTGGCATTTTGTTATTCAAAAGCAGTCCGGTAGTAATCGTGGCAAATACTTGCGCAGAATTTCGTTGAGCCTGATGATCACTCCAGCGGTCTACAACTTTTTTTGATGGTTGCCTACAATTGAAACGCCACGAAGGTTCGGATTATCCATGTCCTATATTCTCATCATCGCTGTTTACAGGATCTGTCGAAGCGCTTGAACTCATTTTCGCCAGTGTTTTGCCGGCCGGGGTGTCCCTACCGCTTCCTTATTCTTTATAAAAGGGATTGTCGACTTCTTTTGGTGTATCCTCCACCCTTTTCACGTTTTTCCCCAATCCGGCCCCCAAATGGCTGTCGCTCTTTTCTCCACGCTCATTACTCTTTTATTTGGCGCTCAAATCGCCAACGCCGCTGGTCTTTCCAACCAAGTAACCTGTAGCACTGGGCACGTTACATCGAACAAGGCATGCTGCCGTGAGTCATCTAAAATGTGCCCCTTTCTCTTCGAATACTGACTTGAATGGTCACCAGCACTCTTCCCTATTGTTGATAATATCCAACAGAACCTTCATGGCGGTGGAGCGTGTGGGTTTGGGGTACGAATTTTCCTCATCCACTCTCCCTGTCCTCATCACCCTGCCAGGCGCACACAGCTCTTCGACTGTCGTTCCACGACGCCATTGGGTTCTCCATCCACGGTAGCTAACCAACAATGTTTGTAACTACCTACTAATTATTTGTGGTCAGGTGGCAAAGGCGGCGGCGCAGACGGTTCAATTCTGATCTTCAATACCACCGAGTTGGCCTACGGTGATTATTTTTGGTTTCGACCTGTATATTGACGTCCCCTGATGTCGTGACAATGATTTCAGATGCCAACGTGGGGTAACTATTCAATCCCCAAAATTTCATTTTATCTCTGACACCAATCCAAAGGATCGACGATATCACCGCTGATCAATGGCCAGTCTTCCAAACTACCGGACTGAGTGCCGGAGATTTGTGAGTGAAGCCGTTCCAGTATGAGCATTACCTTACTATTTTATCTAAAGCTTGCACCTTGCCGCCGCGGTTGGTACCGCAAATTGCCCAGGCGCACCTAGACTCCAGTATATGTTTGGCCGTCCTCCACCCGTGGCACCTGCTCCTGACAACACCGTACCGAAACCCACCGGTAACTCCTTGATATTGACCTCTGTGTCTCGTCGTACTAAAACTGTCGTATCTAGATAGCGTTGATTCCATGCTTGCTCGCATGGCTGATGCGGGATTTAGCCCGGCGGAACTTGTGGCTCTCCTCGCGTCTCATAGCATCGCGAACGTTGTACGTCTTTTGCTTTTTTGTCTAGGAGCAAATTATTGAAGTTTCTTTTTGTTAGGTTGACATTGACCCAGTGCGTCACCCTGTTGTATCTGCACGATTTATCACTCATTCCCTTTCTAGACTGTTGCCGGAATTCCGTTAGATTCGTGAGTCATTCCCCACATCAACTCAGTCCGAGTTCCACTTATGCGTCGAATAATAGAACTTCGACGACTTTGTGAGTATCCGACATCCAATTTTCGACCATTGTATGTTCAAACATAAGTTCGTAATTAGCGACTCCCAGCTATTCCTTGAAGTCCTCCTGAAGGGAACTGTATTCCCAGGGTAGGTGGTTATTTGACAGACATCCGTACAGTTTCTAACTCTATATATCTTCCCTAGTTCCGGCGCCAACAGTGGTGAAGTTCAATCTTTCACTACAGCAGAAATGCGCCTCCAAAGTGATTCAGCCATCGCACGCGGTTCGTCCTTTGAGTTTTTCTTGCGAAGTATCCGGGCTTCAACCTTCGGAAATAGATCACAGAACTGCATGCTCATGGCAGTCAATGATTAACAACCAGGCGCGGATGATGACCCAATTCAAGGCTGCCATGGCCAAACTCCAAGTCCTGGGTCAAGATACAAGTAAACTCATTGATTGCTCCGATGTACGTCCTATTTGAAGGAACATTGAGCAATTGTCCTGATCAACAACTCTTATTTCACCCAGGTCATACCCGTGCCCAAACCCTTCGCTGGTCCAATCAAGTACCCAAGCTCATTCTCTCAAGCTAATATCGAGCAGAAGGTATGATATATTCATGATATTTAGGACCCATCATATTTTTCTAACATGGCTGTAGTGCACTGAGTTTAAGTTCCCATCCGTCGGCCGCTGAGGGCTGCTTGAAGGTCACTTTTTCTGTCCACAAAATACTAAAAGGATATTTTTCCACACACGAACATTTTACAAAGGACTCGTTTTTCTCTTGTAGTTCGTTGCGCTATGTATACGGACAGGTTTAGCTTATGTAGCATTTGCGATTTGTAGGGTGTTTTGAATTTTATGTTGTAAATTTCGGACTTTTGGTCTGATAAGAGGTGGAAATGTCTACAGGCAAGTACAATGCGATAAGGCTGAAGGAATTCGAAGGAAGAAAAACGGTGGTGTGTTCAAATCACGTACACGTGCGGGGCGAAGTGTTTTACATCAACTCTCAACTCTGCTTGAACTCTCCGCTCAGACTTGGCTTCCGGGGTTGCAAGCCGCGAACCACGGTCATGTCCCTGTCCCAAATGCTACGGACCACTAGGGAACAAGCAGGGCTCCTCAAATCAATCGAAGAATGCCTGTTGAATTACCTTACCATCGCGTTATCCTCGCCAGAGACGAGCGCGTCATCACAAGGTTCTCACCGTTCTTCACGCGTTTTATAACGACACGACATATACGATTGCGAATCAAAGTAGGAAGCGGCGGAGGTGAAGGCGATTAGTACAGTTTGAGCAGAACACTTCTGAGTCCTCCACGAGGTGCGATTTCTCACCTGCATGATTTCTGGAAACCACTCAGCTCGGCATCAGGAGAGTTCCACACGAATTCACACACCGTTGATGAATACCCATCCACCTTACTAACCACCTAGATCCCACGGCGTCCATATTCACAGCCCCTAACGATCTCAACGAGGAGGCCACACTCGGCTTCGTCGGTCGTGGGATGACGCTGGGTCATATGCCACACACGAAGGTAACGACAAGTTCTTGAAACCAATCAATTCCGTTGCTAGTCAGCTCAATTTCGAATGTCAGCTTACCCATCGCCTACGAGATTCCTTGGCAAGCGAGCTGGGGAGACCACGAATCGGCGGACAATCTCTACCGCTGGTCGCACTGTTCAAGTGTTCGTAAGTAAGACGGGACTAAGTTCGTTGCTCTCAGCTGATGAATCACCTTCAGATCTATGACTCTCATCGCCTCTCCTCTTTTGTACACATCTTTGGAATTGATGGTCACCATTATCGTTTCCCTAGGCCTCCGAGCATGGGTAAAACCATGTTCTTTGTCATTCCTTTCCTTATTGCAGGCCTTATGTAGTGCGCCCATAGAGCACTTGAACCATAAGATGCGATTCCCATCCTCGAATATGTGAAACGCGTCAAAGCGAGACGACGAATTTCTATCTTCCACGACAACCCTGCCCGTAACGTAAATCGATCGCGCTTTCCCGACTCGGTTAGATACCTTCTCTGGTGGCGACCCTCGATGTAAGCCAGAGGTCGTTGTCGTCGATGAGCATGGTAACATCATATTTCAGTCTTTGATTTCGGTTTTCACCCCCACTGGTTATCGACTTACTGGGTTGTAGAAGATTATGGAAAAGTGATGAACGTGCTGTGCCATCCCGGATTTGCCTTTGCGCCTCTCTGGGACCTTCACGAAGATTTAAAGCGTCAACTTTTTGAGCTGCTATTAATCATAGCCGGCGATTGATTTAGGCACGGTACTCAGACTCGAGTCAAGTCCTGAATCCTTGCATGCCGCCGGTGTCAGATGGCGAAAGAAACGCGCTCCTGTTGCTAATAAGTTTTTCGACTGTTTTCAGTCGGGCATTGAGCTTGATCAGCAAAGACAACTTGGCAGTGAACTTGCCACATCTTGATTTGGTTGCGTCTTGCTGTCCCTTCTTGGCGCGATTTCTGCGTAAGGGGCCAGTAAATTTCAAGTTGAAAACCGAGTAATGTTGGAACTATGAGCATGGCGTGGTACCCACATCAGTCGGGTACAAACTCGGGTCTACCCTAAACCCGTTTGCGTCATTGTGGCGAGCTGCGATGAGCTGATGCACTAGTCGTATAGACTGCGTGAAAAATACCCGTGTCGTAGGGGTGTGGAAGTACATGAAACAAGGTATCCGAGACCAACACGAACAAGAGCGAGTCCCATAAACTGAGGTCGCGAAATAAGTCAACTTCCGAGCACTGATTGTCAAGGTCTTGATGAGCCATTCATCTAAAATTGGGATGACACTTACGCCGAGCAAGGTGGGGCACATTGACGAGACCATAATGAACCGCCGGATATCCGACGAGTGACTCTCCCCATGCGTCAAAGGTGATCGTAGTTCATGTTCAAAAAGGTAAAATTTGCATGTGAGAGGGAGTGGTGCCTGCTTTCCGAGACGGGGTAGCTCAGACAATAAGGTGAGAAGGGGTTGAATTACGACATTGTGTATAGATTGGCGTTCTATTGGATATATGAAACAAACCTACGTGGTTCAGTGACGCGTCATCGGAAAGAATCAAGCCAAACGCACTCAAAACATCCACATCTTTGGTTAAAAGCGTCAAGTCCACCCATGCTAACCTAGATTGTCACGAATTCTTCTTGAGCGGTTTGACAATGGGAGGCGGAGGTGGCATCGTCAAGGGGTTCTCCTCGCGTGCTTGTTGCAAGAGCTTGTCCAGGCCTTTCTCCTTCACGGCCCTCTGAGCCTACCAATCAGCATATCGACCACCCACATAGGCTCGAGAACGCACCTGAATGCACTCCTTGTACTGCTCCCACACCTTCCCGCACTTCGCCTGGAATTCATCAGCTTTTTTCTTTGAGTACGCCCCGCGCTCCGAAGATGAGGCTGCGACTGCTGGTTCCAAGTAGCCTTCGAACCAGGCGTTGAAGCACGTATCGTACTTCTCCTTGAGGGGCGTGCATTCGGCGGAGAGGCTGTCCGCCATCGCGCACGATAGTGGGAAACAAGATGGGTTTAGTCAGCAATTGAATTCAATTTTGAAGCTGTTTCCCACAATTTACACATGTTGCGCTCTGCGTTAACGTTGTGCGACCTCATGAAGCTGCTTGTGCTATTGACCCAACCTGCAAAAGGCCGGCGAACTGTGGATTTCATTTCTCTTCCGCAGCTTGGATGTCGTCGAGAAACCCGCCTCAAAAAGTAAACAACAAGGAACTAATTTATCTCACGGCTTTCCATGCCCGTTTCATTTCTGCCGAATCACTGCATTTCCTGTGACTTTTCCCCGTTGGTTCCTATTTCTATTCTTACCATCGCACGTACTACCCTTCGTCATCGAACCGCAGTACAAAAGTTTGGAGGTGCCACACCGTTGTGCGATGTCGCGGGTCGAGAACAACAAAAAATCGACGGTCCTTCGGCAGCGCAGCAGGACTTGGGGCAACACCTGCACTATGATGCTCACCGTATAAAAAGATCGTTTGCTTCAGACCCATTCATCAGCTGAAACAGCTACTCGTCTCATAGACTCAGTAGAATGGCCAGTACTCGCTTCTGCGCTCTCTTCGCCTTGGCCTTGCTCGCTGCCCAACTTGCCCAAGCTGCCGTTATACCTGCAAATAACCTTTTCGGGAGCTCTACGATCTACCCATCTTCATTGTCTCCATCGGGAGCTACATCAGCACCAACTGACTCTCCGCAAGACGGGAATCCGCCTAACTCTACCCTTGGATACATGCCCTCTTTCTCCCATATGCCACACTCGGTACGAAAGCTTCAAGAATTGACTCAAAATGTGTCTCATCTCTATTTCCAGCGCCCTTCCGATTTCCCTGGCGATAGTCCGGCACCAACTGATCTCCCGAAGCACAAATTCTCTCCCTCGTACTCGCAATCTGACAATCCGCCAGCCGTACGCAAATTTTATACAGAGTAAGGATTCTTTCTTAACTGAAGCTTTAGAACACATCGGCCTTCCCTTCTGGAGCCCCCAACAATGGATCAGCACCATCTGACCACTCACATGATTCAAAATCTCATGAGGGACACGAAGGCCAGCCAGACTCCTTCTCCGACCACCACGACTTTTCTCCGACAAACGCGACCGATGTTCCAACACCGACGGACAATGGGAGGATGCCAACTGAATCATATAACCCTCCACCGTCATTCTCTGATGGTGGCGTTCCATCGGCGGTAAGTACCAAGTTAAATCTTGTTTGCCATGATATTTATTAACTCTCTTTTCATCAGTGCCCTTCTCACTTTCAGAATTTCGCAGTACCAGCACCCACCGATTTACCAGCATACAACTCTTCGGCTGGACCGATTCCACAAGGGGTAAGGGGAAACTTTACGATTTCTTGAAATTTTCTTACTTGTATCTTCAGTGCCCGACCGCCTTGCCTTCCTCCATCTGGCCCTCAGATGGTCCAGCACCTACTGACACTGTCTGATTGTTTCGCTTAACTAACGCGTAATTTTAACTTTGGACATCATGGACAGATCAATAGAACCGAGAAATTGTACATAAGTGGTATCGTTGTCCTTGTACTTTATCCTCGGACGCTATCGACTTTTACTTTTTCCCCTGTAACTGGTGTTGCACAATCCTTGGTAAGTGTGATGACCAGTGACATGCCGTGACATAGCGTCACAGGGCCAATTTCTTGAGACATGGACTTTGTACCTTCCACAACACCAATCCAATATATTTTTTGCAGTGGGTTTGAGGGAATGATGTGATTGAATCCACTGAGAGAGTTTTCCATGTAGAAATTGTATTTATTGCTCCAAAAATGCGAAATCAGCTTGTTTTCCCTGCCAAATTTGGCACTCTGGAGAGATTGGACTATAACTTTCCAACCACAACACGTATGAACATGGTTTGTAGGAGGATATTACTTAGAATTTGAATTCCAATCGATCTACGGATCCAGAATTTTTATTTGTGGCCCCTATGTTGAGATCACCCCTAAGAATGAGCACTTTAACATAGTTATGGGGTAGTAATTAAAGTTATGGACCCGTAGGATTGAAGCCACATACTAATCGGTTATTTAGTCTCTGCAAATCTAAGCCAAAATCCTATCCATTGTAACGCTGATAGCTCGAGTAGGCAACATTGGGCTAATAGGTGCTGTATAGCCACCAAAATCAGACACATTGTAGATTTTTATACAATTGAATAGAGACTATCTATACAATTCTGGCGCATTTTTTTTCTTGTAAATCGGTGGAGATTTGACTGAGCTACACCATTTACAAGTTTGGGCCATCTATAAGTAGTGGCCAAAACAGGCACCTTCCCAATTTGGCAGACTGGTGATGCTTCTCCGACAAGCTCAAAGTTGTAAATGATGTAGCTCAGTCAAATCTCCACTGATTTACAAGAAAAAAATGCGCCAGAATTGTATAGATAGTCTCTATTCAATTGTATAAAAATCTACAATGTGTCTGATTTTGGTGGCTATACAGCACCTATTAGCCCAATGTTGCCTACTCGAGCTATCAGCGTTACAATGGATAGGATTTTGGCTTAGATTTGCAGAGACTAAATAACCGATTAGTATGTGGCTTCAATCCTACGGGTCCATAATTTTAATTACTACCCCATAACTATGTTAAAGTGCTCATTCTTAGGGGTGATCTCGACATAGGGGCCACAAATAAAAATTCTGGATCCGTAGATCGATTGGAATTCAAATTCTAAGTAATATCCTCCTACAAACCATGTTCATACGTGTTGTGGTTGGAAAGTTATAGTCCAATCTCTCCAGAGTGCCAAATTTGGCAGGGAAAACAAGCTGATTTCGCATTTTTGGAGCAATAAATACAATTTCTACATGGAAAACTCTCTCAGTGGATTCAATCACATCATTCCCTCAAACCCACTGCAAAAAATATATTGGATTGGTGTTGTGGAAGGTACAAAGTCCATGTCTCAAGAAATTGGCCCTGTGACGCTATGTCACGGCATGTCACTGGTCATCACACTTACCAAGGATTGTGCAACACCACTGTAACAAGGTGGACTTTTGTTTTAAAACTGTATACTTTCTCAATGATATCATAGACTATGATGCTCTTTCTCTTCATTTTTGCTATTACATATGTTGCAGTTTTTTTCGCAAACCGAGTCAACGTTAAGTGTCCACAGCAGACTACCGACTTGCTACCCACAACAAATTATTTGAAGATTGTTCTCCAACATCAAGTGCACGATCCATCTGCATTGATCTCTCCACATGTTGTGTACCCAACGGTTCGCCCGTCGCCATCAAAATGCTGGGTTGGACATTGACATGGGCCCAAATTATCACAATTAGTACCATCCTCGCATCTATTCAAAATTGGTGAGTTCGTTATTATTATTGGCTTTTTAGGCAGCTTTTTCCACTCACACGCAACGGGAATTATCGGCACAGTGTATACCGTTGTAGCCACTGGGGCAACTGTCGCCGCATTGACCTTCCCCCAAGTTTCCTCCACAACGAATTTTGATGTCGGCCCCGTTTGAGTTATTGTCTCGCCAGCAAGCTGCACATTCGGAGCTGCATTGCAACCCCACTGCCGTCTGGATGAACGCAGATGACAAAAACATGCTGAGTGCCATAGAGAATTTCATTGCAATGCTAACTTCGAAAAAATCAGCTCGAGTTGATTCAACAGAGGACTACTGAGATGGGCACTCAGTCGAGTTCAACAAGCTTTGTTGAGAGCGAATTTTTGAATGATTATTCTCCAGACATCTGGTGCCTTATATACTTCAGCATACTGGACGTGAATGCGACGGATCGCAACGTCGGCAAGGCCGTCGTTACCTCCAGCTTAGGAGGTCTAGAAAACGGCCGCCCATTCGGATAAATAGAAACAGAATCTGCCTTCTCGTGAGTGTCTGCGAAACTCGTGGTCTGCGGTTCTCGAGTCAGCACTTGGTCCGCATAAATTCATCCGACCCATTTCTATGATCATCGATATATCATGCTGCTCGATTATTTCTCCACTTTCTGTCGTTTTGTCCACCCGTTCGTGTTTATTCTCTTCCTCCTCTGCTTTTTTTCTTTCTTGCGGCGAGCTTTTTTCTCCAATTTTTGTCATTTAATTTTTTTTACACTTTGAATTATTATTCGTACGACGCACCCATTCATTTAATTACAGTCTGTACCACAAGGGGCAAACAGCTTTCGTCGCCAGGTAAAGAGGTGATAAATAGTAAATAACTATGTCAAATTTTTTATTCCACATTTGTTGAAAAAATGATCAGTTAAATAAAATTCAAACTTTCTTGCTCATTATCTTCGCAGGAATGGTTGATAAAAAGAAAATGTTGATGCCAGAGTAGGAAGATAAAGATCAACCCTGTTTTGCCACAGCAACAAAGATGAGGCGACAAGTTAATGTCATTGAAAGCCTGTTCCTGAATTGGAACAAAATTTAACTAATTGCCAGGGAATTTTGAGGGAATTAGACATTCCTATGCGGGTAGTGATGGGCAGGGGTCAGGCTGGGGTTTGGTGGGTTTTTGGTGGGTTTTGACTTTATAGG